ATATCCTTTAATAAAATCATAACTTTTAAACTTAATTCTATATTAGTATTTTTAAATCAATTTTCTAAAAGGTTAAACGACTAAAGTTACCAAACGCACTACAGCAGTATTCAAAACAACGGTAACACCGACGATAGTTCGCAAAGAAACAGCTGCAGACGAGTCTGATATATCAACCAAACAGCCAATGACAGTACTAACTTCAAACATAGATAAAACAATTTTAAACGAGATCAATATACAAGAAAAAAACAAAGTTCAGGTTGTATTTAAAAATAAATAAATGTTTTACAAATTCAGATTGATTCCACATTATTGTAACATGATAGCATTTCTTTTTACATATAATTTTATAAAAACATACATAGATATTTTCTGTATCTTTATACGAATTTACAATGAAACATTTTAGATGTATGGGTAAATGTTGGCGTACCACTTGGAGTAGTGTTGCCATTGACAATAGGAATAACAATCATCATATATATATTTACAGGAAAAGGTAAGAAGTGTTAAAATCATTTTTCTTTTGGCCAAAAGATTTTACAATTTTGTAGAGTTCTTAATTATCATCTACATTTTTTAGTTATTTTGTTATTCAAAACTGTTCTGTAAAGTAATGAAATTATTTGGACAGGTTTGAAAAATTTTAGTTATTGCTTGTCCAGATATACTGCTTTTCCAAACAGTATCTTGATATATATCATGTCAACTACAAAATACTCTTATCGATTTTGATGTTTTGACGTCATGCGAAACCTAATGTAATTTTTATCAAACAAAAGTATTCTTTTTAAAAAGTACTATAGCTCATCCTGAAAAATATAATTTAAGGAACTTGCATTATGTTTCCATGCTTAAAACAATTAAATGTTAATAGTCTTTTAAGCGGAATATGAGACTGTTTAAAGGTTCTTTAATCAGAGCACTTTCCAAAATGAATGCTTGAACAAACGCTCGTGTTTGTAAATGTAGATTTTCCTATTTTTAAGAAACCAAAACTGTTAGTGGATTAAATAAGCTTATAGTTTCTAAAATAATCAAACTAAAATAATTTAATATAAACTACAACTGTAAGCAACAAATTAAAGAAAAGGAAACGGAACAATAGACGAACATGACTTTGCTCGTTCCTTTTACCTCTTATATATCAAATACAATATCAATATACAATCTTTTGGAAAGTGATCAGCATATAATCAAGAGCAAAAACAAAAAGAAGTCTTCTGTGACACAAAGTTTATAAAACTTGCCTGACCTTGCAACTTTAAAACAAGTGGGACTTTAACAGTATCATCTGATTTCAAGTCTCACATTTTTATATAAAAGTGCAAGCTAAGGTCATTTTAAGCACATTTAATAGAATTGACGAAAAAAATGTGTACGTCAGTTATATAGTTTAAAAAATGGACGCTTCTTTGATAAATTTTATACAGTGACAAAATAGTAAAGCTGTTCTGTTAGTTTTTTCCCCGATAGTTATAGTCTTTTAAGGAAACACAAACTGTTATCGTTTCGCAAAAACTATGTTTGTATAATTTTGTATCAAATACAAGCTGATTGTTTTTTTCATAAAATGACTTACATAATCTTGGTGTATTCTATTTGAATTATAATGAAATTTGAATGTGTAAATTTAGATTAATTAAAGTATTTATCATTAACTAGAAAAAGACCCGTATCAATAGATAATGTATGTAAAATGTTGTTCAAATATTTCTCTGTTAAAGGACCAAAGATTAAAATAAAAATAGCAGAAATTTACATGATGTTGCTATCATATCTATAGAGAATTAAACAAAACTTTAAACATAGATGCCGTATTTACCATAGGGATCACGAATAGTAATATTTATCAATATCAAAAATGCATATATTACAATTTGTGAAACATCCAGTGAAAGGCCTTTATATTTCTCATATTTCTTTAGCTTCTCAGCAAGTCCTTAAAACGCTTTGAATCACAGTTGCATACATTATACATTCAACCAAAGGAGATTAGCATTGTTTGTCTGAGATATGTAATATTCTATATTGTATATACACATAAATAGAAAATATAACCTTCTATTATAACAAATTACAGAAAAGAAAAAGAGGCAGAATTTATCACTCAATTAATATTACCAACTTGACCACAGTTTCTGGACAAAGTAATTATGAAACTCTTCAACGCCAGCAATTGGACGAACACCAGTATGGCTCAGCAAGACAGGTTCATAAGTATCGTATCGGAGTGAATACATATATTAATGACGTTGTTTATTGGGAGGATACTTAAATGAATACGTAACCATACTCTGAGAGTGTTAAATACATAAAGAAATTACAGCAAAATTCAATCGATATGAAATGTATTGAATAAACGTTTTGAAATCAGTTGTTTATTTTTTATTGATGACCAACCTCCCTATCATCTTTCATGATCCTAGGTCAAAGCCACAAGTTATCATCCGGAAACCAAAAGGTTATAGACCGAGCGACCGACATCTGCGAAACAATAGTCCTCCTTCTTCGAATGGGGGCATAAAAAAGAAACGTGATAGGTATGGAAACAGGCAAGTTTGACTCCTGCGCAACTAGGTATTGGTGGTAATCAACCATGATCCAAAATTTGAAAGAAATTGGGCAAGCAATGCATGAGGATTTCAGGAGACAACGCAAGTATATAGGAAAAAATAGGAAAAGGCCATAACTTTGGAACATCATATTGGTAGTGTTCATTTATGAAAGTTTCAAGGTAATTAGCCAAAATAATGAATGAAGAGTTTAGGTGACAGACATACAGGACAAAAAACAGACAGGAAAAATTAATTCCAATATGGCTTGCACTTCGGACGGCGGTATAAATACAGCCTGGCTATTAATCGAAATGTTTCAATTTAGACAAAAGATCATCATGAGCACCAGATAGAAGACGACATGTCTTGACTAAATACAGACAACACTTGGTAATGGAAACAATAGCTCATGCAAACATAAATAAACAACTCTATTCAGATTTTTTAATTAATTTTAAATATACGATAAAAGGAAAATAAACAGTATCAATAGTAACAAATAGACACTAATGTATGTTACTAACAACTATAATAATTGCAATGCCTTGCATACATTGCACTAATCTTATAAGTCACTTTCGTATTTTTCAATGTGAGCGAAAGGAAGATCTCAGAACTTGTGTATAGAAATTAAGAAAATAAATGGCGATTAAATAAATATATAATTATTTGATATAATAAATATAATTAGTTTCTAATATTATTTGTCTGCAAACTGCAATTCTATTGTAAATTTCTATTAAAACGCTATAATTCATATTTTCAAAGTCATTTTCGCATACTTTCTTCAAAAAAGTCACATTCGTATTTTAGGCGTGTAAACCACGTGGTGTAAATAACGAATTTTCATTTGATGTTGTTTTTATTTAGCGAGAACTTAAGTCACGTGTCTAAATAAAAGCATTTCTTTTTTCATTTTAAATTATTTAATCACTTAATTTTTTTTCCAAATAATTATTATAACTTAATTATATACTGATAGTCGTTCATGTTTAAAAAAATTAAATGACAATTCTCGCGAGACTTATTCACACGAGATTAGGCCAAAACAAAATGATCATGTGGTTCAAGTTACCTGGCCGACCTATCCTATAGTGTATATATCTGACATACAGTTAAATTTTGATAAAATACTAATTTAAAAAAATGTTTTTTTCCGACCTATCTACCCTATTATTTTTCAACATGTTACCAGAACCTCAAGATCATTTTGTTTTGGCCTTATGACGTCAAACACACAGGCACATTTTTTCCCCATGAAATTATTATCTTATGTATACGGCCTCGAGGTCGGCGTGTAATAACGGAAGGTAGATGTTGATTTCACAAACGCTCAACGAAAAGAAAAAAATAAATAACATAAATCGAGGAGTCTTGTTTTGAGTGAATATGATTCATTTTTCCTCAATAGGAATTGAGATTTAGATTTCATTTTAATAAACTTTATTTTGGCACACAAATAATGTAAATAAAAACACAAAACAAATGTTATGTTTACGTATGCAGAGTATTTCAACGACTTGTATGAAAGCGCGAGTAAAATTGCATTGCACATGCAATGAGACAAATCATTAGTTGGCATACAACATTAAAAGTTAATATATTTTATTTGAATGGAACAATACTGAAAAAAAGAATATGGTATTTCAGGCTTTATTTCACATTTACACTATTGCATTGATACGCAACTTAAGATTTCGGCCCATGTGATATTAAAGAAACACGCACACACAAACACTACAAAACAAATGAAAAAGACAACCAACACGCGCACACACACTCAAAACAACAACAACAACAAATTTGACAATTATCTTTGAAATGTAAATATATATTTGATACTGTTATATAACATAACAGTTAATTCATTCGCTTGACACATTAATCACATAGCATTGATTATACTGTGTTATCATTGCAGTAAAGAATCAAACGGTGAAGTACAGTTCATAACGAGATATCAGGTTTTAAAATTCACAATTGAGATAACTGTTATCGTCTAAAGTATTTAAACTTCCTCATTGGTATTGTGTTTTATGTTTTAAGTCACAATAAGTTTAATATTGAATAGAAATGAGGAATTTTGTTTTCGTGCTTTTGATAGGTTTGACGAAAACCTTTGTTTCCGTAGCTCAATGCATCTTTCATTTGTATTATAGTAAACAAGTTCATAAATATTATATCACATTTAATAATTTAGATTTAAAAGTTATAATATTTGTTTTAAATTTGATATTTGTTTAAAAAGTGAAATTGTTTGACGTTCATTTTACGCCTTCTTGTTCAGTCGGAAGGTATAGCTTATAAGAGATTAGATATCAGTTGATTATATCCTGTTATCGCTGTAAAGATTGGCGACCTGAATGTGCTCCTAATGTAAACTCGTACAAATCAAACCATGAAAATACTTGTCAAGTTTAGTTTATGATACTTAAACTGATAGCAGCTTTAAGATGTTATCGTTTAAACTATTTTAACTTCCGCTTTTAACAACGTGTCTCATGTTTTATTTTACAATATAAATAAAATATAAATATTGGATATATAATATAATTATGACGGAATATGCTTTCTTGGTATTAATCGTTTTGATGAAAACTTTGGTTTCCTTTACAGAAGGTATTTCAATTTTGTATGTTCAATAAGTTTATTTGCCATGAATTGGTAATTAATAGTTAATCTCCAAAGCTGTTGTGTCATGGTTTACAAATTGGTACAATTAAATATTTTGATATTTTTGTGTACCCGTCGTGACTTACAATTGCACGGTTGTGTGCAAGAGGAGTTGATAAAATGAATTTAAGTTAAGACTTAAGATTAAAAATAGAAATGGTTGTGCTTTTTTTCTGAAGACAAAATATTAAATATATATGATTTTGATGGATCATTATTATTTTTTGTTTAAAATAATTTTTGTTTTAAAAATTTCTTTGAAATGAAAATAAGATATAATGTATTTAAATCCAATATTTTACATTTAAAATCCTGATAAGCCCTGTCATTGTATATCGAGTCAAATATTACCGCTTGTCTGTAATATTCTGAAATATATGTTTTCATTATGCAAACTTAAAAATAACCTAGGTGATGCATCCTCACTTATCTCCTGCAACATGGAACTTTTGACTTGGCAAGAGGCATTTGACACTTGTAAAAGTAAAGGTGGTTATATGCTTCCATTTGAGACTGGTTTAGGACAAAATATAGACAAACTAACTTTAAAAATGGAAACAGACGTATGGACAGCCGATTATTTAACACCAGCTCATTATTTAAGACCAGCAGATGACAGTAAGTTTTTAAGAAACTGCATACCACCTCTCCTGTTCTTTCTCAATTTTGTTGTCAATATTAGCTGGTAGTTTTGTTTTTTTCGTAATTGCATAATTGTACTTTATAACTATCAATTAAGATTCTTATTACATTCCTTTGTCTCCGTTAATAAAGTCTTTTCCATTGCACATTCCTAGGTGAAAATTAAACGGCGACTTCTAACTAAATTAATCTCTGTCATATAATAATTTATCTTTTCACCTCCATTTTGTTTCATTTTTCTTTTGCTTTTTCTTCTCATGACCATTTATTTAGTGTTTATTAATTGCAAAATACATATATTTTGAAAATGTCTTTTATATATTTTCAAGTAAATGAATTTTGTGCATGATAATGCCATGAAGTGTATATATGTAAATTGGGACAGGACACTCATTAGTTTGCATAGCTTTCTGCCCAATCCCAAATGTATTGTGTAAATAGTGTTCACCATAATGTAAATATATCGAATAAAATATGTTTAAACCAAAGTAACTGCATATTAGGTTACAATCTATGTTTTAATATTTTTTCATCGAAAAAGTTTACTTCTGATTGTAATTTGGCATATATTTTAGGAAGTCAAGTTTCGGGAAAAGAATTAAAGTTTATCATAACTGATCTGTAATTCCTCCTTTAGTTCCTGTTCAATACTCGTATAAACTAATGTTTGCAATTTAGTTCTAAATCGGTTTTGTTTACTTTGCAACAGCTTTTTATGTTACTTTTCAAATGGATTTTTCCTATGTGAATTTCGTTGATTACTTATATAATTGAAAAAAAAGTCAGCACATTAAATGTTCTAGCACGATCCTTTTAATCAAATATTAGAGTGTGTGTTCTCTTATTCAAGTCATGTACGAGATATCACATATAACAATATTTCGGCTTTTATCTTCTTCAAAGGCGATTTTAATTCTCTATCTGTCTGGAATCGCATTCCGAAATCGTCTAAAAACCACTCCTTTTAGCACTTTTTAAAATGTCAGCATTAAACTACTAGAGTTTTTTCATCATCTGATCTCTCCAAATAAATTATTATTTGAAAAAATCATATTTATTTCCCGAGTACAAACCACCATATCAAATAACTATTATACTCGACCTGACCTCGTTTTCATTTTCAGAATAAAAAAAACATATAAAATAATTGTTTTACTCCTTAAATATTTACGTAAATTACATTTTTGAAGTGTAGGAAGTAACAAAATTCTGTTTAAATATCAAAACATTGGTGTTGTGAACAGAGGACATTATGGAATACAATTATGATTCTATTGAACATATATACTGTTGTAAAAAAACTATATTAGACACGGAAAGTGGCTCGTTCAATATACGTTTTACAATAGATTGAGGAATTGTATTTACAATGTTTAAAAAAACCCACAATACATTTCACTTCATCACAATGACGGTAACATCTTCCTTCGAAGTATATTAATTATTTTCATTATGATGCTATCTAAATATGAATATGCAAGACACTGATTTGTCTACTTGTAAAAATATTAAAATTTCAGGTATTTTCAATTTCAGAAAATGTCAAATATTGCGGTTTTCACTACCTCAATAGCACATCGTATGAAACCAAAGAAGTGTTTTATGGAGATTGTAAAGCTAACAGAAATTATTTTTGCAAAACTGAACAAGGTAAAAGTTATATTTGGCACATTAGATGACATCACTATATGGTTCATTTGTGGATATGCTCGATATTAATGATTTATGAAACTTATTTGAATATTAAGAACCAAGAAACTATAAATATTTAATACAGTGAATGTAAAAAAAAGTCATTTTAATACTTCTGGAAATGATAATACATGTATAATAGGCCTGGTTAGATTTTAATTTGAAAAATAAATGCTAAGTGCATACATATTATTTTGCAGATTTTTCTTGGGTGTTAGTTGTCTATAATAGTACTCGAGAAAAAGTCTACTGTAACTATATCGTTTGGACAAGTGACTTAAAAAACATGCGATCAATAATTAAACCAGGATACTATTGGAATCATCGGACGTTACTTGGCAAAGGTAAAACTTTTATTACACTGATATTTTTATTATTCAGAAATTCTGATAAAAGGCCAATACAGTTATGAACATTTTGAAAATTTAAGTTAATCAAATGCAGTAAATGACTACAATTATAGCTAGCATGGCGTTGTCTAGGATCCGAACCGTTACAGGACATCTTTCTTAATTGTAAACCAACAATATGCAAATGTCTGAGAAAAAATCAGTGTATGTTAATTAATATGCAGCAAATGTGTGAGAAAGAATCAGTTCACATATATAGCGTGTACCGAGCGGTTATTATTCTAGTGTTACAGCATAAAATCTTAATATTATTAAATGAAATTATATAAAAATATTCTCTGGATACTTATTCGTACTGATTTGAAATAATTTATTCAGATATAAATTTTCTTGATAAAGACATCACTTTTATTTCATTTTGCCAAGTCATTGTTATTTATTCCATTTTATAGTAAGTTTGCATCGAAAGTTTGTTAAAACACATGTAGAACTTTGTTATTGACGGCCATGTTAACTATTGTATTATGGGTGTTACCAAGGTCAGCCAGCTTAGTAACGAAAAGTAAACAAAACCTGAAAGGAAATGTTTAACAAGAAACGTTCTTTTAATGGCCAGTTAAAGGTATAATAAGAGTAAAATAAGTTTGTTTTATTTACTATATAATTGTACTTTAGTATTTTTCATGTTATTTTTGTAAGTTTACAATTAAGAAAAATTTCCTGTAACGGTTGGGTGATACGCCCATTTTTGGATGATTCACCCTTTATGGTTGAATGACCACGGGCGAATTGGTCATTTCTTTTAAGTAATCAACCAAAATTGGTTGAACGGTCTAGTATATAAAGGCTCTGAAATTTTCTCTGAAAGCTCAGTTTTGGCCAGAAATTCCAACTAGATCTACGTACGTCTGTTCATCAAATGTTCAATAGCCGTAACTTTTAAGCAGAATACAACTTTTTCATTGATGATTTCAACATAATTTAGAGTTAAATATCCTTGAGCTTCGGATCCTAGACGTAGAAAATTAATCAAGTTCAACTTAAACGTTTCTTTATAATATAGTAATCTATATTATAGCAAGATTTTGATGTTATTCACTGGTAACCTTTTATTTGGTTAACGGCGCGCTATATTTTCAACTATGGTAAGCCACATATGCCTTCATCAGAGTTAAAGCTTTATCTAACATCTCTCCTTTCCATCACTATTGTAGGGTATATATTTTTGCTTGAGAATTGCCTTTGGAATTTTGTATCTTTTTAACTTGTTGACCTGTCAAATGATTATTTCAATGTGTGTACCATTATTTATATGTCTGTTATTGATATTATGCATGAATAAATGCTATCTGTTTCAATTTATACAGTCTTTTGGTTGTCATTGGTGTACTTAGATTCAATTAGAGCAATCTTTCAGACCAGCCTGACTTGTGAGGCTTCTTACCCTGGTGTACGGTCAGCACTACGCTACCAAACATAAATACTGAGACATACACAATGTGATACTAGCACGTAACAATATCACTTCTATCAAATTCTTACAATAAAAAAAGCAGTCTTACTATTCAACCCTTAAAATATTTCCTGAAGCAGCGCACCAGATATCTAAGTTTTCTGTGTACTAGTAAATAAAATTACCACTTCGATCTTATTAACCGTACGGAGCCAAAACCAAATCATTATAAACTTAAAATATCTAATTCTGAAAATTATTTATGTCAAAGAATCAGGGCCTAGAATTCATCTTTTCACACTGTGCACACGCTCTATTTATATGCTGGTGAAGCATCATCCTGGCAGTGAATAAAAAACAATGATTTTGATTGGCTAAAATAATAAAACGTTTCTTGAAACTGATTTTAAGTAAACCGTTAATAGAAGTGACTTCTCTTACAAACTAGTGTGAGTAATAGATAAACAATTTCAAATATAAACATCTTGATGGATACCCTATTATTATCCAGATTTGATAGTAAAAATTCTTAAAATACCTACTCTTTATAGCATGTCAAATTTTTAAATAGATTATAATGTGTTTTTTCAAATACAAATGGCGAACTTATAGAAAGGGGAGACAATCAAATTAACTATAATGTACGTTTCATTCACATATATATGAAGGTTAAATTGACAAACTGGGCAGCTTACCAATAATTCAAAAGTCGATTATTTATTGTTTAAAACATTTCATTGTATATAATTACTATTGCTTGCCCTTTTACAGCTAGAGTAGCTAGAAAAGATGCGGATTACATAATAAGTAAGTGGCAAAGTCAACGTATCAATAGACTGTACATATCTTTAGCCTCATATTTTATGCATAGAGAATTGATGAAGGAAAACTTGTACATACAAAACCATTTATCCGCATAGCTCACAATAAGTAATGCGTAAGGTTACTGAATAATTCTGATAACCAAAGGTATGTTAAAAAAAGAACGATAATTGAAAAAAAAATACAAAAATATACATATTACGATCGGAAGTTTTACCCACATAATTAGAAATAAAAGTCGTCTAAATTATAAAAATCTCAATGTTTTCGATTACAAGTATCTCTTATTAACATCTATTTACAAAATAAATCCAGGTTTATTAAATTTCCAGTGCCAGACACATTATGTGGAGCCTATAAAAGTTCCATTGGAATGTATTATGCAAATTGTAAGGAGAAACGTATCTCGTTATGTAAGTATAAAAACATTTAATTATATGGTTTGTTAACTATTAAAACTTTTGAACATAGGACAAGTTACACATACGACTAATCTTATTAATTGGCTCAGTGTCTTACAGTTCTGTCCAAATCCCTGTGTATATAGTCTCCTTGCCGTTGGTGTTGTATTGCTGATTTGTGTCTGTGTGCGCGAGCGTGTGTGTGTGTTGGTGCGTGCGTGCATGCGTGTGTGTGTGTGTGTGTGTGTGTGTGTGTGTGTGTGTGTGTGTGTGTGTGTGTGTGTGTGTGCGTGTGTGTTGGTTGGTGGGTGGGTGGGTGAGTGAGTGGGTGTATGTGCATGCGTGCGGGTGTGTGTGTGTATGTGGTATTTTTGTTTTGAATGTGTTAATCGAATGCTGCGCTTCGTTTTTTCATGCCTTCAGAAGGCTTTCAACTAATGTTGAAGATACATACCAAATATATATGAAAATATTATTCAATCCAAAGGGACCCGGCACAGTGTTGGGGTAGTGTAAAAAGTAATTCTAGAAAAAAATATCGTTTATTTTTTCTAGAATTACTTTTTACACTATCCCAACACTGTGCCGGGTATATATTATATATAAACGATATTTTTTTCTAGAATTACTTTTTACACTATCCCAACACTGTGCCGGGTATATATTATATATAAACGATATTTTTTTCTAGAATTACTTTTTTTACACTATCCCAACACTGTGCCGGGTATATATTATATATAAACGATATTTTTTTCTAGAATTACTTTTTACACTATCCCAACACTGTGCCGGGTATATATTATATATAAACGATATTTTTTCTAGAATTACTTTTTACACTATCCCAACACTGTGCTGGGGCCCTTTGATTCAATCATATACAAATTTACATTATATCTCAAGTGTTAATTAACTACAAGCAATAAAATTTAAAGCACTTTAAGTTCGAGCTTCAAAAAATAAATTTCTGGATATGAAACTTGGACATAAAAATGAGTAAAATGAAGACACGATTTTGTTATCCGCAGGTTCACGCAATGGCAATGAGCGAATGAATAACATTTGTTTCGATGGTAAGTGAAAAATTGCTACCAAATTTCATATCTTGGTTTCTTTTTAATTCAAAGATATTTGAAAGTTTAATTGTATATTATTGTATTGGAGGTCATCAGATTTCACTCATTTCATTTTGGGACATTCATTGACACGAGCACGAGCGTAGAATTACTGACCTTACAGTTGGGGTGAATAAACCGTATATTATATTAGTGAACTTGATTACAAAATAACACCAAATGGCGATATATTAATTATTTTACGCTGAATATACGGCAGTTTTTAACAAGTTTCATTCCTAAATCAACATAGAATCTTTTATGCATTATCACATAATATTGCACATTATATTATATGACATATTACCTTCGTCACTTATTACTGATCATCTGAAATCAAAAAGTAAAGTATAATACTGCAAGGCATAAACAATTAAAATGGATTTCTGAAATATTATTTAGCGGAAGAACTACGTTTTCTTGAATATTTACATATATGAGTCACCTTTTTGAAAGGGTATACGACTAAGGTTAATGAACACGCTACAATCGTTACCAGAACACAACAAAATGTTACAGTAATCACCAAAACAACAGCAAAGTCGGTGACAAACAGCCAAGAACGAACAGACTACAAATCAGATACACCAACCAAACAACCAATGACAGTACTCACTTCAGTCAAAGATAAAGAAAACCTACAAATGACACATCCACAAGACAAAGAGCAAAGTTCAGGTTGTATTATTATTAGTTCATTGTTCTCATTTTTACAAGCTTGCATATCTTTCCCCCAAAACAGGATTTAAGTTTCGTTGTTAGAATTTGTCGAATCATTTTAAATCATTGTTATTGAAATCGTTATTTTCTAAAACTCACATTTGAAAAATAAATCATTTTGCACTAATATAAACAATATATTTTAGTACTTTTACATTAGAACAATCGCTTGGCAGGCCATTGAACTTTTTTGTCGGATAATATTATTGAGATAATTCAGTCGAAGTTGGACACGAGCCCAACAGAAAAGGAACATATTGTGTAATCGTCAAAATTGTATTTTCTTGGGCATGCTTATGACATCATTGTGACTGATGGACTGCAAACCAGATACAACAACTGTCACTATCATTATGTTTCCTTCACTATTGATATTCAGGGACAATTTTGGAGAATCATCTCATTTAATTATTAATTAACAAAGCAGTGAATGATTTACAGTTCGGTTTATTGCATAATAAATTTTGAGAAAAGAAAAATAATATCTGATTTCAGGGTTTCTTTTTTGTTTATTTATTTAATTTATTATATCAAAACTAATTTGTCACATTATTGCCAATTGGAACTTCACTGAACTTTTTTTCATACACATTATATCACTCAAATTCAAGTCTCATATTGTTGCGCGTTGATCTTATAGACATTACTAACAATTACAGATATAATTGAGATGTTGAGATACCATTTTCTCTGTGTATATTTAAAACAGACATGCATTTATACTGTATAAATTTCCGAAATAAAACTTTTCAGATATTGGGATCAAAGTTGGTGTACCGCTTGGAATAATATTGCCTTTGACATGTGGAGTTTTAATCGCAATTTACATTTTTAGAAAAAGGTAATAGCAGCAAGTATTCATTCATAAAAGATCATTGCATTTCTCACTGAAATTCTGATATTCACATGAATTTGCGTTTATTTAGAGAAAATAATCAAAGCTTTATAATAAGGGTGTCACGGTTAGAACAAATTCAAATCGTATAAACGGCGACGTAAAAGCCGTGTTAAACGTCTTACCGACCGTACTTATAATATCCTGAGATTTTCAACATTAACTTTATTTCTTTACGTCATTTTGTTTATATTGTGTTGTACTCAAAATGTTTACGGTACATATCCGAATCTGGAGTAACTATTTACGGCTAGAGTCGTGCCGTATATGATCAGATCGGTCAAAATACATTTTTGAGTACAACTAAGATACAGTTGTCATATATTGACATAAAAACTAACTTAATATTTAGAATTAATTAAAAATGTTTCCGCCCCATAGTCAAATACTAATCTCGGTTACCGGTTTATGAATTTTCTTACCGGTTTTAAACCGAAAAAAAATCGACCACACCCGTTTAAATTGATAAACGTAACACACCTATTTATAATTTAAAACTGATTACTAAACTTAACCTTTGCGATTGCAAATTCACTTGATTTTTTTTCTTAGAAATGTACTAGATAAAATTAAAACATAAAATTCATTCCGATTTGTTTCTAGAATACAATGTTGGCAGTCTAGCAAACCAACACATGAACATGGACGTATGAATCAGTTGCACACTCAAAAAACTTCGCCAGTTCACGGTCACCTAAACGTTAACTTTGAATATATTCAAGATACTTCAATATCATCAGAACACCACACAAACGAAAACAATCTCACAGACATAAGTTCACAGTATGCTGTTGTTAAAAAACCTAAGACGGGCGATTCAAAATCCAGACAAGAAAATTACTCGAATAAATCGTATCAAAACGCAACGTATGACGAATATGATGTTGCAGGTAGGTTTCAAAATAGTAGATCTAATCAGTCGGACAATTTATACAACCATTTGGAAAGCGTGGACGAGTATAATTCGACATCTTTCGTAAGGGAAGGAGAATGTAACAATTTGTACAACACAACAGGAGACCGCAATCTCGTTGAATCTGATTACGACTCCACAACGCAGGTGAATAACACAACATTGCCTGATGACGTTTACAATCATTTATCTCAAGGTGACAACTACTATGACTCTACATCAACTACGAGAAATAAATGATAGGGTTCATTTGCTTAGAAAATCAAGTGTTACAGAAATTTATTGTTCAATAGAACTGCATATCAAATACTAGAATACTAGTTTTGTTGTAAGGTAAATAAATACATGTAGTTTATGTTGCAGCTGTCATAATTTTATCTCTTTTGATCGTCAGTGATTAATGATACCAGTACTAATAGTGATGAACATAGAACTGATATCCAGTACTTAATTACGCTTAAATGGAAATCAGCAAATGAATTTTTTCCATTTATTGAAATTATTTTTCAAAACGCATAGTAGATATGTGCAAATCAATTATCAATATTTTTTCTCGCAATTCAAGATGCATTTTTCCCTTTTATATATATTTTGTTTTTATTAAAATTGTAACTGAAATATAAAACATTTAAAGATCCTGTATGTTTTGTGATTGATATTGTTACTGTGTGTATACCACACTTGCAAAAACTTATATATGTATACACTTATGCAAATAAAACAATTTTCATATATCGAAGAATATGTTAAATGTGTACTGCAAATATTTGTGAACATTATTTTTAATCAATAAATTATATACATTCATTTCTTAATGGAAAATTTGACTTAGAATTTATAGAAAATAAATTTCTAATTACCTCCCTTTATTTACATGAAATGTTAAATTTGGTATTATCTTTATAAATAATGCTTATTGGAACTTACAATATTGACAAATCTTAATTTGAGCATCATATTTATGAAATAAAACCATGAAAAAAATGTGTTACAGGATCTTTAAAACTTGTAGATTTCTCGGATAATAAACTTTTAATCATAAGTTTTCTCAATCTCTCCCATGCGTCTTAGAACAACACTTTCTTATCTTAAATCTTTTATGCCATGACGATTTGCTTACATTCACGTCTACTTGCATTATTTTCTAGCAAACATAAACAGTCGAAATACATTATAACATAATAATACATAAATAATGCTCAAATAATTACTGAATATTCAATACTGACCCTTTATAATGGAATGATATAATGATTGTCTTTTTCAAATATACCCGTATAAATTGAATATAGTTAAAAATATATGAAGACAAAGGCATGTATTCAATCTATTTTAAAATTTATTTTGCAAACCAACCATATGATTTAATGTTGCATATATATGCGATACATGATGTGTTCTTTTTTTCGAACCACATAACTACAAAACAAGCCATGCTGGACCAATTATTTTGGATAATTATCTCGGACATAATTTATGGACACTTCTGGCTATGCAATCAAATTTTGAAATATTCCGTACCATATATTTTTGTTGATTTTGTAGGCATCTATTTGTGAATGTATGCTATTTTGAATAATAATTTCAAAGAGTATTACAATGTTGTTTTGGTGATGTACTTCACCCTTAATCTGTTTAATTTTTTTAAACGGTCTTGTACAGCTACTATTTTTGGGAGAAGGAGATAATTTGAATACTGAGTTATTATCTACCTTTCAGCCATTGCTTAGTATAATTTAACCTATAGCTCTTCGGCGCTTCTTATGTAAAATTCTTCCAAGTATAATTTCCAATAACCGTAAATTATACCATACCCAGACTATGGTATAATTTTCAGTTTTGAAGATCGAAGGAGTAAGTGTTTCTGGGCGGAGCTATAGGTTAAAACAGATACACCATTGGTGCGTTAACGATTTCTGGGTTTGCGTAAATTATACCATAATCACGTGACCTTTCTTATGCAACCTCACTCGACTTCGTCTCGTGAGGTTAAGGCATAAGAAAGGTCACGTGATTATGGTATAATTTACGCAAACCCAGAAATCATCAACGCAGCAATGGTATATCTATTACATATTCGTAGACAGGTTATTCAATATTTTTCAGTAAAATTCCTGTTTCAGAATGTTTTCATGGTTTAAAAATTAAAATGTTTGTAATCTTGTAAACGAATAATAAGTAGGGCCATCCATAGTTATTCAATGTCATTGGAGCAATTTACGAAGTGAATCACTGAAAAACCAGACATAAACTGTAAATTTCCCCATTTTCATGAAACCTAAACTGTAAGCTACAACGGAATGTTGACAAGTTTAATATTATTTATCTTTTTCCTCTTATATAACAAAGAATATAACAATCGTTTGACACAAAGCTCATAGCAACTTGGATGTGTTGGCTCAGATGACACATGTGAAATGAGCAACATCGTTTATTGTAGTCTCCCGTCTATTTAAGGGTAACACTCGACGCCAACTACAAAATGAATCAGATATAGGCAATTATGAGCGCATTCGATAGAAACACCACGAACAGCCAAGCACAGCCGTTCGACCAATTAGATGAAGTAAATGCTTACTAGTAAACGCTAACCAATTTAGTCTTTGAATTTAGTTTTATAAAACTATCAATTTACTTACTAGACTGATTAAATTATGCCAATTTACTAAAGTAATATGTCATGATTTATTTGAAATGCTGCAATTCTATTGGACAAAAAATATTTCAAACACTAAATTTTATATCACTTATAAGATGAAGACCCGTCATCAAATAATTTATATAAAATACTGTTCAATGTTTCGTTGTTAAATGAATAAAGATTGAAACGAATATTGCAAAAAATTACCTAGTGTAGCCACAGATTCTTTTGCAAGATGAAATGCATATCAATTGAAAATTAAACAAAGCTTAAAAACTATGTGTTGGATTTACCAAAAGGGACACAAATAAAAATTATTTAAGACGCATTAAAGTTTTTAATGTATATTTTACGATTTGTGAAACATTTAGACTAAAGGAATCTATCGTTCTCACTTATCGTTAGCTACTTTCGCGTACTGTGAGTTACATTTGCATACATTATACATTCAACCAATGGGAAATAGCATATTCCATCTAAGATATTAAATGGACATATAGAATAAGTACATATATTTTTTTTTTGAAATTCTAACCAAAAATAATTATAAGAAAGAGAAAGACTTGATCAAACCAAACTTATTTCCATTTTAACCACAGTTTCTGAACAAAGTGATTAGGAAACTGTAGAACATCAATAATGTGACGAACATCAGTATGGCTCTGCTTAACCGGTACACAGCGATCATGTTATAATGAATACATTTGTCAATGACATTGATTACGAGGTTTGTTCAAATATAAATGCAACTATCAATTTATATAAAGAACCGCTGTATTCTTGGTACACAGGCGAAAACATATTGAATCAAATATGTCGGGTTTATGGGAACAATGACCTTTCTTTTTCATCTGTCACACGATGGTGTCGATTCAGTAAAAGATGCACCTCTTACACGCCGTCCGAAAATTGCAACTTTGCAAATAATTGGTTGAAAAAGTTGCAAGATTTACAACTAAATATAGTCTAAATGAGCTTGTATCTCTGTAGGAGTTGCTCATACAATTCTCAGACGTGATTTAAAAATGAGAAGAATAAGTGGTAGAGATGAATACCCCATCTCCTTACATAACAGCAAAAACTTGCTCGGGTAAGAATCTCCAAACAATTTTTGAAACAGTTCCCCAATTAGAAAAATCGATCTTTCGAATATATAATCACTGGCGATGAGACGTGGGTTTACTTTTATGAGCCCAAGCGAAAGATATAAATCAAAATATGGGCAACCAAAGAAAGTCAAAGGCCTTGCATATCAAATGCACCATGAGCGTGTATGTAATTTTCTTTAACAATCAATGTCCTGTTATTCCAATTGCCGTACCTAAGGTTAAATCTGTAAATGTCAAGGTTTACAAAATATGATAAACAAGATCAAGGAACAAGATTCAATGAACGCATCCCCCATACGACCCAGGAACAAGAACCAGTGGCAAGGAGTCCAGGCGGAAGACAAGGTCCTTCATAAATTAAAGAAATATCTTAAAACTGGTCCCCGTGGTGTCAGGTTGTTGCATAACAATACTTCGTCACACGAAGCGGCCATTGTACGAGAATATATCTGAAACGAACCTAGTTACCCTCCTTATTCGCCAGATCTTGCCCCTTGTGACATTTCCCTATTTCCGAGGTTAAGACAACACCTTGCTGGAAGAAAACATCAAACGCGAAAATATTGCGGTTCGGCTTTTTTCCAGTATCTGAACAGTGAACCTCGAAAAGATTATGAAAATGTAATTTAAAAATTGGATAAAATGACTAAAACTTTGTACATCACGTGACGGTGAGTATTTTGAAAGATTGAGATAATTATTTTGGCACTGTTTGTTTAGCATGTCTGACATTGACCAAGTTGCTTTCATTTTGAATACCCCTAGTAAAACGAAAATAAATAGATAAATATGGCACACCATGCACTTTATAAACATTAATCATGGTAAAACTTATTGAAATAAAATATATTGAATAAACATTTGGAAAAATGGTTAGCACAAAACAGTGTTTTTATTTCTCAGGAATAAAGTTAAAGATTAGATATTATCTTGATTTTTGTTATTCGTATCAATATATTCCTTCAATATGACTTGAAAAATGTCTGCCAAATATACAAAATAGAAACCATACCCGGATAAAAACAAAACAAACGAGGGGGAAAATAAACCAAACAAATAAATGTTAAAATATACACATCATAAAATGACTGCATTTAGATACATTATGCTCAAATATGATATTTTAATAATAAGAAACTGATAATTACCATACAGTCTCTTTTGAAATGTAAAGTAAAAAAATTGAATACACACAGAGAAAATATGTAACATTTTAAAGTTTACACACTACAGGTAAACACAGTATGATTACGTAGTGTCATAAAAACCGGCAGAATAAACCAAATTAATTTGACAAGTAATAGGACATACAGCTTCCCAAGCATAGATTTTAAATTCACTTATTCAAGTTACACAAATTCAGGAAGAAATTACTAGATTTCAATAAATTTCAGCAATATAAAAGTATATTGCAGGCTACAATGACCATAAGTATGCTGTAATTCATCAACAGATGGGATAAAACTTAACCAAAATTAAAGAAAAATTTGTACAAGGAACGATTGTTTTATTTTATTATGAGGAAGTCTGAATGCTTTCTATGGAGAAAATTCAATGGGAACAATATAAACTAACTTAATAACATTAATAACTTTTAGTTTAAAAATAAAGACCCCCGCTTTGTCAAATAAGTTTTCAATATTTTTCCTTTTTTGTTCCATGTGATTAAAATAAACAACATTTTATCATTTTAAACACTTTTTATTCTGTGTTCACTGCAAGTACTCTTAAAGGGTTTAGAATTTAAATCTATCTCAACGTTTAATAATGAAATCATTAAGTATTGAACATATGTATCGTACTCATTAATTTCACTGTGTCAATATAATGTAAAGTTGAAGTAAGCTATGATAAAATCACGGCAACCTTGCTAGGTTTTAACAAGCATATTAATTATCGTTAATTTATAACAAAGGAGGATAAGGTATTGGTTCGAACCACGGATTTGCAATACTAAAATAACAGTAAGGGTACTAATTATGTATAGGTATCAAAGTTTTCAGCACTTAATCATTTGATTTTCTTTTCATTGAAGTTGTAAAGCAAATAAAAACAAACAAAACATTTAGACAACGATAATTTAATTTATGAAATGATGAATAGAATACGACTGGAGTTAAATGTTTACTTTAATGGATGGCGTTTTTTTTCAACAATTGAATTGTTATTTTTGCATCTTTATTTAATATCTCAAAGCTGAAAAGATCATGAACAGTTCGTTGTAAAAACATAATCTTAACAGAAATGAAAGTCAAGACATCTATAAAGATTCATCAATTGTGTGTTACACTAGATAAGTAATTTTTTTTACTCTAGTTTTTTAGATATTTTATCTTTCCCATCTGTGACAACTTCCTTCTTTGGTATCATTTTTAATATAAACAACTTAATCATTGTAAATAGAAGATGTATTTGATTGATAAAGTGGACAAGGTTATGTATAACGTAAGGTAGAATTTGATTTCACAAGTGCTCAACAATAAGTGCAATTAAATCTTATAGATAGAAACTGTTTGTTTTGTATTTACATTAGAAAAATTACAAATCATTATTTTCAGCATCGCATAGTGCGAGTAAAGGAGAAATTCTTATTAAAGATTTATTTCATATTCACGAAAACCCAAACAAATTTTATTATATGCGTATAACTTAAAACAAATGTTTTTACATACTCATTGAAACAGAATGCGAACAGAATTATGCGAAGTGCAAGAAGATATATGAAATTAATTTCACTGATAAAACCAAATATTTCATTGGTATGCAAATAACATTAGTTTTTATGCTTTAACATTATGAAATAAACGATTCCTGATAGCATACGGTAATTAAGGCTTTATTTCACATTTTCTTTTTGCTCTGCTTGGCATCTTATTTCACTTCAGTGTCGCTATGTTTTCTGGTTCTTCGGGATCATTGATTCAGGTACTTTAGTGTTGAGGATTGAATACCGCTCAAACCGGTGCCAGGAAGCATGGGAGGTTTTGCATTATCTCTCTTGAACAGCCGTAATCAAAACGAATCTGCAATTTTCAATTAATATTATTATTATTGTTTTCATGTTTTCTTGGGAATCACCCTTTTTCCAGATTTGAATGTTACAAGTTTATATTTCGACCTAAGAAAGATAATATTTCATGCGGATACCTTCAGCTGGTAACCTTTTTAAAAAGTGACCTTTAGCGTGTATTCTATTTAGAAGTGACCTTTAGCGTATTATCTATTTAAAAATATTTAGCGTGTAATTTATTAAAAAGTTGACATTTTAGCGTGTAATCTATTTAAAAGGTGACCTTCTGCGTGTAATCTATTTAAAAAGGAATCTTTAGCGTGTATCCTATTTAAGAAAATACATTCGCGTGTCTATTTAAAACAATGACTTTTAGGGTGTAACCTATTGAAAAAGTGACCTTTCAAAAGAGTTACATTGAAGGTTCTGTGAGAAGCGCCGTATGAACTCATCTGCGGATATTTTAAATTCCAAATTTCAGCTTTTTTATCTTTAAATGTTGCATTCTGCTTAAGTCGGCGCTAAAGGGCGTGGGCGGTAACTATGAATTTTCTGTACCGTCAATCAAACCGAGATTGCAATATTTTTTATTTTGTTGTTTTGAACGTTCTTTAGGGAGTCGTATTTGTGTAACCTATATTTTAAAAAAAAAGTAACCTTTAGCGTGTAACTATGTTAAAAAAATTGAATTAGAAGAGTCAAAAGTATTTTCATCACTTAATAAATAATAACACATAAAACTAGATCAACAAAAATAATAACACCAATACCCAAACAACTTTTACTATATTGCGGTATCAATGAATCCTACTTTATCACGTACATCACATATAGTAAATTGCCTGACTTACTTGATCTAATAAAATTGATTAAATCATTATATTGAGCACGTTCTACAGTTGTATTATTGATTATTTATTCACATACAGGTCAGGGATACATTTTACACAAGTTCCGTTATAAATCAAACAGTGAAAATATTTGTCAACTACAAATTATGATAACTTAGATATTAGGTTTTTAAAGTCTGTCACATTTGAGATTACTGTTATCGTTTAAAGTGGTTAAACTTCCTCCTCTGACACCGTGTCTCCTGATTTATTTTACGAGTTTCATAAGTTAAATATTGGTCAATAATGAAGGATTATGCTTTTTTGGTATTTATCTTGTTGATAAAAGCCTTGATTTCTTCAACAGAAGGTACTTGAAACTTATTTTTAAAGCTATATTTATATTGAGTTCTAATAAGTATATCATGGTTAGATATTTATAATACATGTATATGATAATTAATACTGTGGGCTCCTTATGGCTCAAAATTGCAAGTTTGTAACATATGGCAGACAAAACAATCTTTTCCATTTGTCTCATGAATTTCAAATTTGCACTTGAAAATTTGAACAGTAAGATATTATTTAACTATAGCCATCACATGCTTAGTATAATCTTATTTACAGAAAATATGTAATACATTATTTTTTGTTTTTATTCCAAGTATACTAATAAATACTGTGAAATAACATTGTTATATGTATAATGTTCTGATATATGTTTCATTTTGCACAATAACTTCCCACAGATTTCCCACCTAGTATGTCTTGTAACACAGTAGTTTCAACTTGGCAAGATGCAGGGATAAACTGTTTAAGAAGAGGTGGTCATATGTTTCCATATGAAACTGGTTCAGGTGAAAATATAGATAAACTCCATTTAAAAAGTGAAATGGATGTATGGACAGCAGATTATCTAATGATTTCTAAAACCTGTAAGTAATTGTTACTGCTACTTCCTTTTAAATATTTACATAAATGATGACTATATCATATAATCTTAGATATATCAGACCTGTTTAACCTGTTAATCAGTCTAACCATACAGGTCGCGTTTTATAATTTTTGTTCATTTTGCATCCTTTTTGGTCTTTAGAATCAATAAATGAACGGCATGTTTCGATGAATTTTCCTTGCTTGTTTACTCTTTCAGTTTATCATTTACGAACAGACAAATATTGTGGCTTTAACTATCTTAATAGCACATTATATGAAAGTAGCGTACCATCGTTTTATGGAGACTGTAACGCAAATAGAAACTATTTTTGTATAAATCAAACAGGTAAACCTTTTCGTATATTTATATCATATCACAATTTGTTCAAACTAACATGATTCATGTACGTGAAAATCAACTAAGAAAATAACAAAGTAATAAAAAATGATTAATGTAGATGATGTAAAAATTATTCTTTTAGTTTACAGATAGATCTTACAATAATAAATATAGGAACACGATTAAAACATAGAGGTAATTAGATTATTTATGTGACATTATCTTGTATATTTTTATCTTGCACATGCTTCACAGGAAACTTAGTTGTGTACAACAATAGTCGAGAAAATATTCATTGTGATTATAACATTTCATTAACTGACTTGCAAAGCATGCAGGCAACAATTAAGCCAGGATACTATTGGAATACGGGGGTATTGTATGGGACAGGTAATACTTGTATCAAGCTGTTAAATTACTTTAAATAAAGCCATAACAAGAAAACATTGTTTCGAACATTTTTTTTTAATTTTTAGGTTATTAAAATGTTAAATAATAAAAAGGCTACGATTAATCATATGCAAATGTATGAGAAAGTTGAATTATAAGCTACGACAAGGAGCCATGGCAACCGCCGATAGGTCTGACAGTGTTTTTATTGATAATATAAGTTACATTGACAAAATGAATAGCACAACCAATAATTCAAAAGTGATTTATTTATTAATCAAATGTTTGTAAATCTTTTCGCCCTATTTAATTACTATATCAAGCAGTCATGTGTGTCCTTTTGCAGCTGAAATATCTAGTGCATGGGCGCATTACATCGACGGTTAGTAGCAAAGTTAGAGTACCAATTTATAATCGCCTGTCTTAACTACACACATCTTTCACATAGGGCTGTTGGTTTCTTTTAGAACATATTAGTTGAAAATTATAGCTTTGGTACAAATAAATCATTAAATAAAAATTATATGATAATGGTGTTTGTGAACACAAATTTCCATTAAATACAAAATAATTTGTAATAAATTTCATAATAAATGATGAAAAAGGTTACTGAATTTGACCGTAGTGTTGTTGAATAATAATAAGGGAGGAATAAAAAAAATTATTGCGTTCAAAAGTTTTACCCCCACAGAAACAAAAGCCATCTTAAGATACTCGTGATATGTTTTATTTTTTATAAAAAATCTGTATTTATTAATTTTACAGTTCGAGGTATATTATGTGGAGCCTATAGAAGTTCAATTGGAATGTATTATGCTAACTGCACAGAGAAACGCTTTTCGTTATGTACGTTGAATATACGGTTTATAATTATTTAGACTTTTAAATCTCAGACAAGTATATACACTGACATAACCTCAGTGTCCTGAGGACTATCTGAAATTTCAAAACTAGTCTAGTGCAAACGATCTGCTGGTCTTCTTGTCGGTGTTTCTATGTTGCTAGTTCTTTTGATCTTTTTTGTTTTCGGTGCCGCTCATTGAATGCCACCTTTTTAGTTAATTTCTTTTATATCTTTTGTTGTTCATGTTTTTAGCTCACCTGAGCATATGCACAGGGTGAGCTAATAGGATCACTCTTCGTCCGTCGTCCGTTGTCCGTTCACACTTTTCAAAACGACATCTCCTCTAAAACCATAAGGCAGATCATAATGAAACTTCACAGGGATGTTCCTTGTGTGAAGCCTTAACAAAGTTATTCAAAGAATTCCATTCCATACAGAACTCTGGTTGCCATGGCAACCAAAAGAAAAAACTTTAAACATCTTCTTCTAAAAAACCCAAAGAGCTAGAGCTTAGATATTTGGTTTTAAATATTTTCTAGTGAGTGCCTACCAAGTTTGTTCAAATAAAAGCCCTGGGGTCAAAATTGGCCCCGCCCCAGGGGTCATTGATTTTCCCTATATGCATATAGTAAAAACTTTAAAAAATCTTCTTTTAAACAACCCAAAGAGCTAGAGCTAAGATATTTAGCATGAAACATCTTCTAATGGGTGTTTACCAAGTTTGTTCAAATAAAAGCCCTCGGGTCAAAATTGGCCCCGCCCCAGGGGTCATTGATTTTCCCTATATGCATATAGTAAAAACTTTAAAAAATCTTCTTTTAAACAACCCAAAGAGCTAGAGCTAAGATATTTAGCATGAAACATCTTCTAATGGGTGTTTACCAAGTTTGTTCAAATAAAAGCCCTCGGGTCAAAATTGGCCCCGCCGCAGGGGGTCATTGATTTTCCCTATATGCATATAGTAAAAACTTAAAAAAATCTTCTTCTAAAAAACCCAAAGAGCTAGAGCTGAGATATTTAGCATGAAACATGTTCTAATGGATGTCACCAAGTTTGTTCAAATAAGAGCCGTGGGGTCAAAATTGGCCCCGCCTCGGGGGTCATTGATTTTCCTTATATGTGTATAGCAAAAACTTTAAAAAATCTTCTTTGAAAAAAAACAAATAGCTAGAGTTTAGATACTAAGCATGAAACATCTTCTAGTGAGCGTCTACCAAGTTTGTTCAAATTAAAGCCCTGGGGTCAAAATAGGCCCCGCCCCGGGGGTCATTCCTTTTCCTTATATGTGTTATACAAAAACTTTAAAAAATCTTCTTTGAAAAAACTCAAATAGCTAGAGTTTAGATATTAAGCACGAAGCATCTTCTAGTGAGTGTCTACAAAGTTTGTTCAAATAAAAGCCCTTGGGTCAAAAATTGGCCCCCCCCCCGGCTGACATTGATTTTCCTTATATGTGTATAGCAAAATCTTAAAAGTCTTCTTTGAAAAAACCCGAATAGCTAGAGTTTAGATATTAAGCATGAAATAGAACCTTAGATGTTTAAGATCATGAAATATCTTTCTAAAATGGGTGTCTACCAAGATTTGTTCAAGATCAAAATCCCTGGGGTTTAAACTGGCCCCGCTCCAGGGGCCTATATACAGGTGAGCGACTTCAGGGCCATCATGGCCCTCTTGTTTTAACAAATGATAAGGATATGAAATTAAAAAAAAACACACTAATGCTATTAAATTATATAACATAGTTATTACGTTGTCGGGAGTTAAAAGTTTACTAGAAGCATCACAGTTATAGAATGTTAAGTTGAAACTTGTTTACCAGACGCTGTATTATGAAAGCATTTTAATTTGGATCCTTTTGTTCCAAAAAGTAATTTTATTGTGCCATCATAATGAAAATGATAATTTGACATTATTATAAAAGAAAGGACAAAGTGAATTACTTTATACTTTGTTGTTATCCGCAGGTTCAAGCAATGGGAATGGACCAATTAATAACTTTTGTTTTGATGGTATGTGTTTAATTTATTGCTAACATACATTTTTTACTTAGAAGTTCAAAGATCCTTTATCTTCATCTCGTGGTATTTGAGATCATCAGATTTCATTTAATGCTCCATTTGGGGACACACATTGATACGCGCGTAGAACTACTAACTTCACATTCATTCTTTGAAATGTTAATTAAGGTTTATTATTAGCATTTTTTGCTTTTTTCAAAAACAAAATCTAATTAGAAAGGGAAAGTTGAGAATCAAAAGTTTTTTTTGTTTTTTTTTTTTGCGTATCTCGTATTTGGTTAAAAATACTTAAAAATATTCAGAAAAAACTCCTTGACAGTAACCAGATTAAAGATATAAAAAATCATGTTATGACAATCACGGAACACTACTCCGACATGAATTAAACTATGTACATTTTTCTGTGGTTTGAACAAATTGCTAGTTCTATAAAATGTGTTTAAACATAGTTTTAACATTCACACGTATGCCCTATTTAACAATAAATTAAACAATGAGATACTTAAATATCATTGCCTCTTATTGTTTCTTCTTTTATTTAACTGCATGTATAATGTTGGCTGTTGCTTCATTGCACATTTCTCTATATCCAACATAATCATATTCAAATTGCATGTGTGTTATTGCTTAATTGCACATTGCTTCTTATTCAACATCATTTGTGTATATGACTATATCTAGCTACTTACGAAGCAGCTCTATTGATATGGCGAGTTATATTTTTCTTTCATTATTATACAACTTATCTTCTTGAAAACAATAAAAAGAACCCACACATGTTTGAATTTTTTTTGCAATTAATTAAAATTTTTCGAAAATAGTATATAAAACGCAACTACTGTAATAAATGGGACATAAACAAATACATTCAGTCATATTTTGATACCGGGTGGCGCTATGACACGAATAACTTTTTCTCATGAAACGGACAACGCATGTTTTTCGAACTGGTACAATATACTTTTGTCTGACGCAGTTTCTTTTATTTTGCGTGCATTCGTGCGTGTGCGCGCGTGCGTGCGTGCGTGCGTGTGTGTGTGTGTGTTTATATATATTCCACATGTTGCCCTTATAGACGAGTCCTCCAGAAGAGTATCAAACTTTAAATGTAGATTTTAGAAGGTAGAGCAAGAAGCAAATCTCATCCGAAAAACTGTTTAGTTGTTGGCGAGCCCTAGAAACAGACACATATTTTCATATTTTTTTTAATTTTGGTTCCAATCAAACGAATCATCTTTAGATGGTTTGGATGAAATATATAATTTTTGTTTATTTATCGTTCATAATATCAAAACATGATTATAATCTAACACTTTGATTTTTCTACGAGTACATACGATTAAACTCAAGCTACAGCTCAAAACAAATGGATCTAGCAGGTAAACATGAAATGTTTAATTTGAATTGACATTCAAAGCAATGAATTAATTATAATAATTATAATATAGAAACACTCGTGAATATACATGCAATGTATGTACCTGTCTCTATTGTCTTTAAAGGACAGGAAGCGTTTCCTAAAAGTTTAGTTAAGACATTCGTAAGCAACGGATTATTATTATCACAAAGAATATATATCACATGTTTTAAAGAAATATTGTACAAGCAGTTTTCACGTTGGATATATCATAAACAACTTATAATTTGACGCTATTATAAATCATGTATTAAATATTTACTTGAACATAATTGTTTGTCATTTGTACAAGTCTTAAATCAAAAGAAATGATGAACAATTTTAATATGATTCCTTACAATGACAAACATACATCTGGAATTATGCATTCTGTATATAAAAAAATATACATAGAAGATGGACAAATCTAAAATGTATAAATAAGAATGCAAACAACATACATGGGTAAGTAACATTCAAATATAAACATGTCATCTTACATATAGTTTTGCCGGATAATCGCCTCCATACTCACGGTCCTTTTGACAACTTCTGGCCATCCGTGTATGGTTAGCTATGTTTTGTTTCAGATAGTGAACCCATGTTTCTTCACAAGTAAAATGTCTGCAAATCATTTTAACTTTGAAACATTTTAAGAAATGAAGAAAGTAAACATAATACAGTTAGTCAAACTGGTCTAAATGGTATGTATGTGATGTTACATGAAACAAAAAACTGTTTCTATTCTATATATTCTTAAAATTATAATTCAGCGTAGGAATAATTAATTTATCGTCCTTTGCCATTTTAGTTTGACATAGTTACATGTACACAAAAAGAAGGTCGAGATCCTGGATTTTTTAATACTAAATCTCGAGAAATAAAAACTGTACGACGCCCTGTTTCAGGATTTAGGCATGTCCATCTATTTGATGATAATGCACCATCATAACTTTAGTTTTGTGAAGCAATTTCGAAGTCGTAGAAAATCTTGTCTTGCTACAGCTACACCTAACATACTCATCAGAAAAAGCCTCATGTGACTCCTTTCTTTTTTTCAAAAACTTATTTTTTCAAAGTTCTTATCTAGTCGTTGATACAAATCCCGACAGAGCCCTGGCCCAGCCATCAGTCAGTGCCTCAGAGATCTACATATATTAGCGCACCGTGACGCATTTCATAACTGGGTTCAGATATTAAAATTAGAGACATGTATTTAAAACCATGGAGTATAATTTGAAGGGGTGTTATTTTCATTTGACTATTTGAGTCAATTGCTTTTAAGATATCATACAACATATCGGACAACCTTTGTAGTTATTTGTTTTCATGCTTTATACTATACATGTAAAACTGCATATTATATTTGATGCTTTTCCATTACTTAGGACTGTTGCGCAAAAATGCAGTTACTAATAAACGTGTCCGCTTTAGAATATGCTGCTTTTGAATAAATGCATAAAGGCGAACGACTTAATTTACTGAACATACTTAAACAGGAATCAACACAACAATAGCACAGACGACAGTCCGCCAAGAAATAACTACAGATAAAACTCATACATCAACCAAACAGTCAATGACAGGAATGACAACTTCAGTCGATAATAAAACAAAAGTAAACAAAATACATACACACTTGAAACGAGAGCACACTCAAAGTTCAGGTAATCGTTTTAGAAAAAAAAAACTGCTTGTAGATAAAAATATATTGTTTCCAAAGTTTTATTTTTGTATTGAATTTTGTTATTACATATATTTTCTCTGAGACATGAATGTCATGCATACATTTATGCTAAATGTGAATTATATAATAAAATATTTCAGATGTATGGATATATGTTGTCGTACCACTTGGAGTAGTGCTGCTACTGACCTTGGAATTGGATTCATTATTTACATTTACAGAAAAAGGTAAAAATTGTTTGAATCTTGTCTGTAATAAACTAACATGCGGTACATAATATTGCGTTCCATATATTTGATTTCATATTATTATACATGTGTTATTTAATGCTTTGTATTGTTTTAGTAAAGTATTATACATCATTTTGTATTTTGAAACAAAGTATTTGGTTGACATTTTTTGCAGTTAAGTGATCGTCAAAACATATTGCGGTATCATGTTTAATCACGCCGACCACAAAATACACTTCTCTCATAATTTAAAGTCACGTAAATCTTATATAAGCGTATATCAGACAGTATTATTCGATTTTTTAAACAACACACACATTAATATACTTAAATGGAATTAATGAGTTTGTTATAGAGTAGTCTTACAAATGAAATGATGAATTCCCTTTGACAACACTTCGTGTAGGTACATAAACGTCTGCAAGATAAAATTCATACCAAGAGACAGTTGATAGGCCCTTATTTTATAATTTTATTTGAATAACATATTATTTTATCACCAACATTGGCACATGTTGTTTTTTTAAGAAATTAGTTGTGGCGAAATTCTTATTGAATTGCACTAATCTGATAATTGGAATGAGACAGGTAGGGTCATAAAGGGATCTATCCAATTTACAGAGCTTAAAACATCATTGTCGCAAACCATTTACATTGATTACATGTTAATTAACCGTGGGTATCCGACGATGAAAAACAAAGGTGTTAGATAAACCATAGCGACACAAATAAAAAAAAGATTCAAGACTTTAAAAATATTTAAATGCATTGTTTGCAATTTATTAAAAATATCTTTCTTACTTATCTTTACTTACATAGCAAGTTCATAAAGTGTGTTGTGAGTTATATTTCAATAAGTTATACATTTAACCAAGAGATATTTAATGGACATACATATTTTAAGCACATAAAAATAGAACTTTTATCCAATTATTATAACAGGTTACAGAAAAGAAAAAGAATTGATCAACCCACAAATATTTCCAACTTGACCACAGTCTCTGGACAAAATGATTATGAAACAATACAACATCAGCAATGTGACGAACACGAGTATAGCTCTGCAAGACAGGTGGCTAAGGATCGTGTTGCATTTAATACATATGTCAATGACGTTGTTTATAGGGCGGATAAATAGATATATTTGAAGTGTTACATACATTAACTGAATACAGCAAAGTTCAATAAAAATATTATTTATTAAATAAATATTTCGATAATGGTTAGTGGACCACATTTTCAGATTAAATAAACATGACATGTCTCAGAAATGATTTTATCTAAAAAAAAATAAAAGCTTATAATTTTTGGTGTATTTTTTTTTTTTATCTCAAGATGTTCATTAACCAGTTATCTGGACAATATGTTCCTTCTGTTAATTATTAGTAAAGTTATAGTTGTATGTAAGTCAAAATACATTGTAATGAGAGCTATTTCTCGGGTAACAAACATTTAAAATGCTCTATATATAAATTAGTTAATATCTAATCGTTTCTGAGGCATAATGTGCCTTTAATAGCTTTTTTCTGTAAATGACATTACACATTTGTTTAATATCCAACACTTTAAAAACGTGTATATTTATTTAAAATTTCTTTCAAAAATCTGTACAATTTACAAAATGGAAACAAAATAAACATATAACCATTCACACAGACATGCGTATACATCATGAAATGGCTGCCTTGTTTAATATGTGCTTATTATTTTAAAAAGCATTGAAAGAAATTAACTTAATCGCCGTACATCATGACAATGTGGTAAGTACCAGCATTTAAACTTGTTTTATTTTGCTGGTTTCCTGCACTGCAAGCAGGATACAATCCATCTTCAGGTGTGATCAAATCAAAAAGTAAAGAAAGTGGTCCCATTACTTTGGAAACAATAAAAATTATTTATCAAAAAACAAATCGCCGGTCCAGAAATCGACCATGCCACGCAGAAATCTCCCGGACATTTTCTTGTATTGCTGAAATAAAGGTCAATCAATGGAAGAACAATTTCGGAACGGAATCAGACGAATTGTGTTTTAATGGTTGGCTTGAGAAAATGTATGTTTTAAAACAAAGATTTATAGACTTTATATACAGAAAGACGAAATTGACAGTCAAACGCCATGCTAAGCGGAATTTGTGCTTTAAAAAACTCTGGTAAACATGCAATGTTATCACGTCTTACTTCCCTTTCATTATCATCTCTGAAAATCTTAGACGCGGAGGCAGATAATATAGTTATTCAAACAGATCCTTTATATACAGCAGCTTATCTTATTCAAAGTTATACTCAGCACGTCTTAAGACCTCATATCGACAACACTTCTGACCACAACAGGCATTTCCTAAAAGTAACCTTTCTTAATAAAGGTATCGATTTCATCGATTTACCAAGTATTTTTCGTGATAAACGTGTCACTAATTCAGTTCCTTTATACTTCAAAAACTCCGAGATACCAATTATTTGCTATAAATATAAGAAACCTGTTAGAAATATCATATTTAATTACAACAAAGTGGTTTCTGACTTAGATATTCAGTCTAATACTCCTACAACTTGAGACTGCAATACTTCTAAATTCTGTAATTCAGATTTTGGCCATATAATCACTGGTAATTTTGATATAATTGCAGACAAAAGAATTCGTAACTTATTCTTGAAAGGACCTAAATACAGAATTCCTTCTGAGATTGATTTTAATGCTTGTCGTGGTCAGATTGCTGAATCTATAGAGGATTTTTCGGTCAAATGGTGTCGCCGTGAAAATGCGGATAGTAATGCTCTAGTTACATGGAAACGTAACATCTTTAAAATTATTGATTCACGTATTAATTTTTATCGTGGAAATGAACATCTTTTGCCACCTAAACCAATACTTACTTTAAAACATCTGAAAAAAGATATTCTAGCTTTTCATTCAAAATTTGTTTTGGTGCCAGCGGACAAGGCGGCTAATAATATTATAATTGTTTGACGAATCCATTACATTAACGTTTTGCATAAGGAACTAAATAGCACTAATGCGTATTCTAAAACCTCTGCCTCCGAAAAAGACATTGTAAACAATCATATTACTAATATTTCCAATCTTAAAGTCCAAATTAATGAAAAAGAACTCAAACTTCCTATTACGTATTGGATTCCTAAATTACATAAAAAACCTTACAAAGCCAGATTTATTGCTAATTCTACATCTTGCACTACAAGTAAACTTTCTATTTTATTGACGTCTTGTTTGACTGCCATTAAAACACATGTAATAAGATATTGTGATAAAGTCTATGAAAACACAGGCAAGCATCTCTTTTGGTCAATTAAAAATTCTGGTGAAATCTTGGATAAATTCAAAATTAATAACTTTCAAGCTTCAACTGTCAGTACATACGATTTTTCTACACTTTATACAACCTTGCCACATAAATTAATCAATGATAAACTAATTTCCCTAATTCAGAAAACTTTTGCACGGGAAAAAGTTACCTTTCTAGCATGTAATTCTAACAAAGCTTTTTTTACTAACGGTATTGTTAAACATTATACTATGTGGACCTGTGACGAAGTTTGTAGAGCACTCTCTTTTCTTTTAGACAACATTTATGTCAGGTTTGGTAATACCCTATTTAAACAGATCATAGGAATTCCTATGGGTACTAATTGTGCACCCCTTGTCGCCGATTTGTTTTTGTACTGCTATGAAAGAGACTTTATGTTGAGTCTCTCTGAAGAGAAACAACAAGATGTTATAGTCGCATTTAATAATACTTCCAGATACCTTGATGATATTTTTAATTTAGATAATCCTTATTTTGATCAAATGGTGTCTGACATTTATCCGCATGAACTACAACTTAATAAAACGAACTCTTGAAATTTTAGTACATCATTTTTGGATCTTCATATTACTATCAACAACAATTCTATTCACACAAAAATTTATGATAAAAGAGATGCCTTTGACTTTTGTATAGTTAACTATCCACATTTGGATGGAGACGTACCCCATGCAACTACGGGGTTTATGTTTCTCAGTTATTTAGATTCGCTAGAGCTTGTAACAACGTAAAGGATTTCAACGAGCGGAATATTTTTATTACCAGCAAGCTTCTAAAACAGGGCTACCGCTATCATAAATTACGGAAATATTTTACTAAATTTTACAATCGTAACTTTGATTTAATTTCTAAATTCAGTAGTGATTTAAAAACTCTTCTGCGACAAGGGATTAGCCAGCCTGGTTTTTATGGCGATGTGGTTTACAAACTTCGTAAAATTTTGGGTCATGGTAATTTTTCTGCTGTTTTTACTAAAATCATTAAACGTTTTATTAAAAGAGGTTATGACCCTACTATTTTAAGACATACTGCATGTTTAGTGTTCAACCCTTTTACAGTTGGACACTACGCTTTCCTCTTTTGATTGCATCTGACGGACCAAGTGGGAGACTCTATGATGGATAGTTCGTAAAGCCCTTTGGGACTGAATTGTCTTAATGTTCGTCTTCTGCCTTGCTTCGTCGGGCCCTTGTAGGTGATTTTCTTGTTGCTCTGTCTTCCTTGAGTACTTTTGTTATGGTCATTGGGTTTACTGTTATATGTTTCTACATGAACATTTTGTGTTTTACTTATTTAAGCTGCTTTTGTAACTATACCAACTGTTAGAATATTAACTTGGTGGGGACACTGTCTCGTTTTAAGGCACATGGTGGGGCTAAAAGTGAGGTTTGGTGCACCAATAACCGGTTTAAACTCCCCAGCAGTCATTATTATGCTGCTGACCGTTCCAAGGCGGCGCCCCACTGTGTTCCTCAGATGTATGTCTATGTTGTTTCATACTGTTTTGGTGACACTTTTGCTTGTGTCCCTTGTTGTTTTCTCGTCTACGGTAAGTATCTTCCCCATTGCCTCTAGTTTTTATTTCTTTGATTAACCCCCCCCCTTCCCCGGTCTCCTGTCCCCTTCCCCTTTGTGGGCCTATTATTATTTTCTTTGAATTCCTAATCAGTTACAGATTATTTATCATTTAATGATTAACGTGTCGTTGCCCTGTCCTTTTTATGTTTGGGGTCTGCCTGGGCTCCTTGCCATTGGTTCTTGTTGCTGGGTCATATGGGGGTTGCGTTCATTGAACGCCGCCTTTCCTTGTTGATCTTGTTTTTCATATTTGGTTAGGGCTTCAGGCCTTATACAGCTGTAAAGTAATAGTAAACTAATTGAAAGACGAATCCGCAATGGAATCAGAGAAATGGTGCTTTAACGGTGTGTACGAAAATGTATGCAATAACATTCTCAATACATTTAAGTTTGATCAATAATGGAACACCTTACTTAAATATTTATTTTGATTTCTGTTATATCATTAGGAACAACAACTTATACATGTTATAAATATAAAATATGTTAATAATATTTGTATTCTTATGGCTTTAAAAACGCGTATGCCTAAAAATGGAAATATTTCCATTTGTCAAAATCTTTTTAATTTTGATTCCTTTTACGGTTTCCAAAATGTTTCTCATAGCCCAAATACATTAATCAACCTTTGTCTTTCGGCAGTTAAAACAGTTTCAGTACTAGAGGGCTTTAGTTATGGAAGTCCAAATACCACGATGTTTACATTTTGATGACTTTGACAGTATTTATCTCACATTCTTTGTTATTACTTAAGCTAATAAGCATATAAAATGTTCCTAATCAATTATAACTTGTTTACCCTTTCTACATAAACAAATTGATACATTTTTCTGGGGCTTAAAGTACCTTTAAAAACCTTTTAATCAGTTTTGTTAAGTAATGGTTTCATGTCCTCTAAGAGCTTTTGACAATTATGCTCTTCATTCGTTTAAAGGGTGACAAGACTGCAATCAACCATTGTATTTTTACAAGATTGTTATCCCCAACATATGTGTGCATCTCGGGACGACGTGCTATGGAACGTCGTGACTGTCTTATGCTATCAATGTTTTTGCTATCTTGTGAAATGATGATATTATTTTGTCATTTAAGCATATTAACATGTGCAATTTACACCATATCTTGTCAAAAGACAATGCTGACCTTTTCAAACAACATGTTAACTTGTCAAAGTACCATGATAACTTGTGCAAACGGCATGTTAACTTGTCAAAATATCATGATGACTTGTGCAAACGACATGTTAACTTGTCAAAATTTCATGATGACATGTGCAAAGAGCATGTTAACTTGTCGAATTATCGTGATGACATGCTCATAATACTTTGACAAATTAATATGTGTTTTGCACAAGTCATCACGATTGTTTGACAAGTTAACATGTTGTCTGCACAAGTCATCAAGATAATTTGACAAATTAACATGGCACTTGCACAAGTCATCACGATAATTCGACAAGTTTACATGCTGTTTCCACATGTCATCATGGGATTTTGACATGTTAGCATAGAATTTGCACAAGTTATCATAATACTTTGACAAGTTAACAGTACGATTTGACATGTAAGAATGATACAAGATAATATGTCATTTGCACAAGTCATCATCAAGATTCTTTGAAAAGTTCACATGTTGTTTGCACAAGTCATCATGGTAATTTGACATGTTAACATGCTGTTTGCACAAGTCATCATGATACATGGACAAGTTAACATGCTGTTTGCACATGTCATCCTGATAATTCGACAAGTTAACATGTCGTTTGCACAAGTCATCATCACATTTTGACAAGTTACCATGTCATTTGCACTAGTCATCATTATACTTTCAAATTGACAAGTTAACATGTTGTTTGCACAAGTCATCACGATACTTAGACAAGTTAGCATTTTGTCTGCACATGTCATCATGATAATTTGACAAGTAAATATGCTGTCTGTACAAGTCAGCATGTTCCTTTGACAAGACATGATGTAAATTGCACATGTTAACATGCTCAAACGACAAAATAATATCAGTCACGGCGTTCCATAACGTGCATTAATAATGAAACCATTATCTCTTGATGTTTTGTACTCATTTATTACCCCGTGTCAATATAATGTATAGTTGTAGTCATATACAATGTTTATCTTGATAGGTTCTCCCAAGCGCATGAGATATAGAAGTTTATTTTTTTTAAAAAGATAAATAAAACAAGGTGATGATCAGTACAAATGATTTGATATCATTTTGACGTAAATATGTACACTTTTAATTGTCCTTAAAAACAAAGCGACGTATTGAAAGAAGATTTTCATGTTTTTATGTCAAGTTTTTCAGTCGCTCTCTTTACGTTCTTTTCACATTATATTCATAGAAACTGTATGACGTTGTATAAAATTTTAAGTACAAATGATTGAATAAGTTTACTTAAACATTTTGTTCCGTAAAAGGGATGGCAATTTGAGGCACAATGTGATTATTTTAATGAATATTGGAATTGACCAAACGCATATTGTGTTAAATTTAAGATATTTGTTCATGACATTAGTACTTTACATTTCAAATCTGTAAGTACTTCCTTCTTTGGTATCATTGTCAAAATAAACAACTTAATCATTATAAATTGAGATGTATTTGATGATAATGTAACTAAGGTTACATATTACGTAAGGTAGCGCTCAGTGAAAAGTACAATAAATGTCATACATAGAGGATATCTGTTTTGAGTAACTATAATGCATGTCTCACTGAGAAGTGAGAAAATTGCGAATTAATACTTCCGTGGTCGCATAGAACGAGTGAAAGATAATTCAATTATATTTAATTCATATTACGAAAACTGACAACCCGAACAAATGTCTTCAAATACTATACTGTACTAATATCTTAAAACAATATTTTATCCACTGGTTTGTGACGAGTAAAATTGTGTAGAAAAACGTGTACTTTAATTTCAGAGATTATTTTATGTTTAAATGTTCTGCCACATATTTAATATTATCACATTTAAAAAATAACAACAGCAATAATACAACACTTATTACAATATTTCATTTTAGTTGAATAAAATAAAAAACTTTGGGCATGGTACTTTATCAGGTATGTTACTTATCATTATTTATTCGCAGGACAAAATTAATCACATAACATTGATTATATCCTGTTACCGAAAACGTTTTACTGATTCGTAAAGATCGGTGACTTGGGCTCTTATGTAATCTTGTACAAACCAAGCCGTAAAAATACTCAAGTTTTATGATACTTAAACAGATAGCAGGTTTGAGATAACAGTTATCGTTTAAACTATTCTAACTTCCTTTTTTGATATATTCAGAGGCTCATGTTTTTTTTTACGCTTTTTATATCGGATAATCATGAAGGATTCTGTTTTCTTGGTATTAATCGTTTTGATGAAAGCTTTGGTTTCCTTCACTGAAGGTAATAAAAATTTATTTTATATTAAACAATTGTCAATAAATATTTAATCTATAAGGATGTTGTCTCATGGTTGACAAATTGGTACCATTAAATATTTTTATATTTTATGTACGCGTGAAATACAATTGCACGGTTTTGAGACAGAGGAGTCCATAAAGTTAATTTAGGTGACTTTAGTTATAATAAGACGAAGATTTAAAGTAGAAATGAATGTGCTTTTTTCTGAAGAAAAATATTAAATATATATGATTTTGATGGATTATAATTTTTTTTAAATTTTTGTTTTAAATGTAGATTTTTTTTAAAATATTTCTGTGAAATGAAAATAAGATATAATGCATTTAAATCTAACTCTTTTTTTTTTCAATTACCACCCTGGTTAGCTCTTTCATTGTCTGTATACGGTGTCAAAGGGGGTCGTATATCTAATATGATTTGAAATAAAATATATGTTTTTCTTTTGCAAACTAAAAAATAACCCAGATGATGCATCCTCTGTTTTTTACTGCAACACGGCACTTATGACTTGGCAAGAGGCATTTGGCAGTTGTAAAAGTAAAGGTGGTTATATGCTCCCATTTGAGACTGGTTTAGGACAAAATATAGACAAACTCAATTTACAGAGTGAAGCAGACATATGGACAGACGATCATTTAACACTAGTGCATAACGGTAAGTGTTCCAGTAACAATATATTATTGTAATTTTTGTTTTTCGTGAAAAAATCATTTTTGATAGTAATTTTGCAATTCGATATGTCAATCTAAGAATAATCTCTGTCATTTCTTCTTTAGTTCCGGGTACAACACAAATATTAAAGTTAACAATTTTGAACAGAGTCATTCTTGTATACTTTGTAACAGCTGTTTGATACTACTTATAAACTTGACTCTTACTTCTATTTTGTTTTGATAATTTAGGTTAAAATATTTGTTTCACAGCCCTGTTAGGATTTTTGTTTAAGACAAGTTTTACAATCATTTTAATTGAATATTCGGTATCATGAAAATGTTTTGATTGCATGGTACTGTTCTCAAATATTTTGTCCTCTAAAATAGTCAGAAAATATCATTTTCATTAGTTTTAGTTATGAGTTATGAACCTGTGATAATATTGTTATTTGCATATTTCTTTTCGATCTCGTCATTTATCATTACTGTACATGTATGTGCTCGTCTATATAGATTTGTGAATTCAATAATTAAGTCTAAGCCTGGTCAATTTTTATATCTATGAGGCACTTTGATATCGAAATATATCTTATCTTTGTTTTCATTTCTCCGAGTACAATTCATATCAAATAACTATTTTATCCTGTCTAGCCTCGTGTCTTTTAGTGTCAAAATTCCACATCAGATATTTACAACAATAAACAAGTCATTAAACACAATTTAATGCAATATTAATTCTATTGAACTCTTACACACATGTTAAACCTATATTAGACTCGACTAGCGACCCGTCCAATATAAGTTAAACAGCAGATGTATACTATAGAATCGTACTTAACAACATGATAGTATGAAAACCTCAAAATACAGCGTAGTTACATTTTACTGTATGATAATGACTGTACAATCATAATTCTGTGCAATCAATTTTGATTTTGATGTTATCTTAATATGCACACAAGACAAAACATTGACTTTTGTACTCGTAAGTTATTTTATATGTTATTTGTATTTTCAGGAAATGACGAATATTGTGGATTTAACTACCTCAATAGCACATTATACGAAATCAGAGAACCGCTTTATGGAGATTGTTACGCTAACAGAAACTATTTTTGCAATAATAATAAAAAAGGTACAAGTTATAGTTTGTAAATTGAATTACATCACTATAAGGTTTTGCGAAACTGCTTGCTGTAAAATGTGAAAACTGTAGAAACTTTAAACCAAGAAAATACACGTTAATGTAATACAACTTTTTTGAATACATTTATTTATTGAAATGATCATTTAACAAACGCAATCAGATTTTTGTATTTGCAATTTTTTTATACTTAACAGGTGTGTTAGATGTCTACAACAATACTCGAGAAAATGTCCACTGCAACTTTAACGTTTTCTTTTCTGGTTCACACAGCATGCGATCAATAATTAAACCAGGATATTATTGGAATACTTGGACAGTGCATGGGACAGGTAACTTGTATCATTCTGAGATGTCTAAACTTGAAAAATATGGCTAGAACATGGAAACATTATTTGGAACATATTGAAATTCTAGGTTTAATATTTTTCTGTAAATGACACTTACATAGCTAACGTGGCGTTTATTTATGATATGCAAATATGTATGTGAGAAAGATGAATGATCAGTGCACATCATTATTTAACGTGAAATATTAAGTAGAGCAACATGTCAATAGCTGCAAGGCTTACCGTGTTTATGCAGTTTATTTGTACTTTTGCAGCTAGTTCGACTAGAACAATGGTAGACAACTTGAACAGTAAGTAGAGTCAGCGTATCATTTTACGAAAGTCGGTGTTTTTTCTACGCATATCATTTATCTTAGGTTCTATGTCAAGGAAGTTTATAGCATAACAAAAATATTTTGTTCCTTTAGAATTACATATGTTAATAATGGCTGAATCTTAAAGGCACAAAATAAAAAATAAGTTAAGGCCCATTAAACTTACAAACTTTCTCCGAGTATAAAATCATTTGTCATTAAAAATCTTATAAACTCTTATGATTTTTTCGATTACTATATATATGAATAAAGTTTTGTTAAAATAAGAACGATAATTTTAAAAAATATATTGCGTTCCCACAATGAGAAACAAAAATCATTTTGATATATTATCACAATGTTTTCGGTGTTCTCTTCTAAGTATCTTTTGACAAGATAAGCCTAGATAAATTGATTTTCCAGCTCAAGACATACTATGTGGAGGATATAAAAGTTCGATTGGAAGGTATTATGCAAATTGTACGGAAAAACGTTCCTCGTTATGTACGCAGAATTTAGGTTTGTAAATTATTACAAAATGTTAAAGTTATTCATTACCTTAAAGTATTACAGTTTTGTCTGAAATTACAATACCAGTGTACACGACATGCTTGGCTCCATCAGGATATTTCAAATTCTATGTTAAAAGCCCTGGTTCCATGCAGGTGGTCAAGTGTTTGTTGTTGTTGATGATGTTGATTTTGTGGGGTATTTTTGGTGCATTCATTGAATGTCGCCTTTTTTCGTTGTCCTTGTTTTCATATCTTTTTTGAAGATGCTTTCAACTAATGATGAGGATACGAAATATGCTCAAAAACAATAATGATGTTCTGTAATATACTGTAATATACGTTTTCGGGCGTTAACAGTTTACTTGAAGCAATAGACTTAAACTTTTTAAGTTGAAATTTGAAGCAATTAAATGTATTTAAGTTGGATTTTCTTCTTGCAATCAAGTTGAAATGGTAATTTGACATGATATGAGTGACAGAATGACATAAGTTTTTACCATGTTGTTATCCGCAGGTTAAAGCATTGAAAATGGGCCTAAATCAAACATTTGTTTTGATGCGTGAAATGTATTGTTGACATACTTCATATCTCGGTTTGGTTTTAGTCAAAAGATCTTTATCTTCATCCTATGGTATTACAGGTCATCTGATTCACTATATGCACTATTTGGGAACACACATTGTCATGGGCGTAGAATTATTGACCTCACATGACCACATGACCTCACATTCATTTATTTTTAGCGATGTTAGCTTTAATTTTATGTTTGTACTTGTTGATTTTTTAAAGCTTAATATGAATTAAAAAGTTAAAATTATCACTAGATAAATTTTATGTTACTACAATATCATAGCTGCAAATAAGTCTGGAAGACATATTCAAATATAGTTTATACGTATCACAATACAATCAAAAATATTTTCCCTAATATCTATTTGATCGATAAAACTTACAAACCTTCAGAATAAAACCCGTGACAGTTAACAACAGATATACAAATCATTTAATGACAATCACCGGAGACTACTACCACGTGTGTTAAAAGATGTCCATTTGTGTGTGTTTTGCACAAAATGCTGCTATTCGTATAATTGGCATTTAAACATTGTGTTCTAACTAATTCTATATTAAACAACGAATGAAATTTCGAGTGCGTACAAATACAATGTATACAATATGTTGAGGGAAAGGCATTGACACGGCATTTGACGTCAGACATGTCATACTATAAAATGGCGTCAGATAACGATGAGCAAATTATTTCTTCGCTGAATGTACACATTAGTATTTAAAAAATGCAGAGCATATTAACATAGAAATAGTTTTCATATTTCGTGTATTATAACATTATATCATATTATACATATCATTTAGATCTATTGCCTACGTGAAATTATTATATACATGTACACATAATGAACTGTTGATGAAATGGAAATGCGTCGTATCATTTTCGTATTTTAAATGCATTAAAACTTATTTTTCGTATTTTTACTGGTGTCTTCCTGACATCTTTCTTCTTAATTTACCAATGAAACAAAATTCAAGGGAAATCTTTCATATTGTAATGTTAAAAAATGAGAAATGTCTATAGCAAACAGAAAATTCAAGTTTTTTTCTATAAACACATGATTTATTTTCATCTTGTGGTATGAAAATTATCATATATATCATATAATTTATTATCAAGAGACAACTACAGATACATTTCATACATCAACCAAACAGCCAATGAAAGAACAAACTTCAACCAAAGATAAAACAAATGAAAAGAACATTCATCCACAACAGGAGGAGCAAAGTTCAGGTTGTATTTTAATTAATTCATTTATCTGATTATTTGTTTGCATGACTTTGAACAATATCAACGTTCAGTTTATTTATTAGATATTTTAATCTTAAATACATAGACGCCAGTACCAATAGCCCAGTACCTAATGTATCCTTCGTAAACAGATAAAACCTTTCAGCATTTTATTTTCATTGGCACATTTGGACATGAACGTTTGACGTTTGAATAATTTATTGGCATGATTATGATAATATTTCCCATAGACATATTTTCGATAGAGATCTTTTGGTGACAAAAATGCGAAATCTAACAAGCAACCCGTCAGAACATTGAACAGCCAATTAATGAAAGGCATGTTTAGGAAATTATTGTGATTGATCGACTGTACAATATATAAATGGTATAACATTGCTGTCTTGAGAATCACATATTTAATGATATCTTATGTTTTGATCTCATACGTGAACAGCACATGAATTTTCATCCTATGATATCTTTCGAACGAACGAAAACAATAACAGACGAAAAAAGAACAACCGCACACGATTTCCAAAGTTTTTTTTTGTCACTTCATTGTACATTGAACTTTTACATTTGATTTAAAAAAACAACAAAAACAATATGGCATTACATTAAAAGGGTCTTATAGACATTTCTAACATAATACCATGATTATAGAATTATATAAACGTTGCAATACTTTCATCCATGTGTATTTATTTTCCGCAATGACGTATTTCAGATATAGGAATCAAAGTTGGTGTACCACTTGGTATAATATTACCTTTGACATGTGGAGTTTTAATTATCATTTATATTTACAGAAAAAGGTAAGATGTGTATTAATCCATTAAATGTCATGGTGAACATGGTTAAAATTCTAACATTTACATGGATTTCGAAAAAAACATAGTACGTTTAGAATTGTTTCGTAGTTTAACAAATGCCATTACCAACGCGTTCTTACCAATGCCATTACCAATTCCGTTTCTTAAAAATACACTTGATAAAAACTAACACTTATATATTTTTAATTTCGTTTTTAGGATAAATTGTTGGCAGTCTAGCAATCGAAAACATGAAAATGGACGTATGAATCAGTTTCACATTCAAGAAACTTCGCCAGTCCACGGTCAGCTCAACGTTTACTCTGAAAGCATTCAAGAAACTCCAACATCACCAGAACAAGGCACAAATGAAAATAATATCACAGATATTAGTGCACAGTATGCTGTTGTCAAAAAACCTAAAACGGGCGACTCAAAATCCAGGAAAGATAATTACTCGAATGCATCGTATCGAAACGCAACGCACGATGAATATGATGTTGCTAGTAGGATTCAAAATTACAAATCTAATCCATCCGACAATATTTACAACCATTTTGAAAGCCCGGACGAGTATAATTCAACATCTTTTGTAAGGAAAGAAGGAGAGTGTGACAGTTTGTACAACACAACAGGAGACCGCAATCTCGTTGAATCTACATACGACTCCACAGCACAGGTGAATAACACAGCATTGCCTGATGACGTTTACAATCATTTTTCCCAAGATGACAACTACTATGACTCTACATCTATTACTAGAAATAAATGACAAGAAAAAATTGATGGGGTAACCAAGTGTTACAGAAATCTATGTTTCATTAGAACTGCTTGTCAAATACTAGTTATGTGTTATGATTAAATATAAAATGTATGTTGCCGCTGTGATAATTTTGTCTGTACCAGTACTTCTAGTGTTGAAGATGGAAATGCTATTTAGCACTTGATCCTGCTGAAATGATCAATTAATCAAGTTTAACACACGATGTGTTCTTTGTGTTTTAATAAACTTCGGAACATGAACCTGTCGGACCACATACATACCGAACAAGACATTTTGGACCAATTATTTTGGATATCTCGGACATGATTTATGGACTCTTCTGACTACGCAATCAAATTACCATGTATTTTTGTTGATTTTGTTGGCATCTATTTGTGAATGCATGCTATTTTGAATAATAATTTAAATGAATATCACACTCTGAATTTGATTTAATGTGACTTCACCCTTAACATGTCATATTTTCTTAAATGTAATTGCCTTCCTTCTACTTTTGGGAGGAGATAATTTGAATTCTGATTTATTATCAATCTTTTATCAAACGCTCCCTAAGATATTAGCAAATAGTTTATTCAACACTGCTCTGTAAAAGTTTGAATTAATTTGGAAAGGTTAACAGTTTGGAAACTCATATTCCATTCCACTAATATATTGCCGTTCAATACAATATCTTTTCTCAGATTGGATGTTTTGACGTCACAAGGCGACTTTATCAGACATTATAAACAATACTATCTCTCATCCAGAAATTATTTTTGAAAGGACTTGATGAGTTGCAAAAATGCCCATGGTGTTTGCAGTCTTGTTAACGAAATAATTATTATGGCCATAGTTACTTCGTTCAATGACATCAGAGCAATTGCGAAGTGCAAATATAGAACAAATAAACATAAACGTTGATTTTCCAATTGTCACGAAACTGTAAGCAACAATTTAAAAGAAGAAGTAAATAGAAACGGAACATTTGACAATTTTATGTCATTTGTTACATTTGCCTCGAAGACAAAGCAATATGTGACACAAAGCTCATAGCCGCTTGACTGTGTTTGTGCTCTGACGACACGTGTGAAATGAGCAATATCGTTTGATGTAAAGTGTCCTATCTTTTTTAGGGTAACTGCACTCGGCACCAGCTACAAAGTAACACAAATATAGGCAATTTTGAGCGCATATGATAGAAACACAACGTACCGCCATACACAGCTGTTCGACCTATTTCGTGTAGTAAATGCTTACAAATAAACACTAACCACTTAAGTGTTTTGAATTTATTTTCATAAAACTATCAATTTACTTACTATTCTGATTATATTTTGCCGATTTAATAAAGTAAATGTGTCATGATTAATTTGATTTACTGCTATTCTATCAGACAAAAATAACTTCGAATACCATCGCAGATTGATCTTAATTAACGACAAAATGTAGGTATAAGATTTTCATAATATGGTTTGCTTACCTTTGTGAACTGTATCTCTGATAAAATATTTGTATAGAAAATGCACTTGAATTAAAATCTATATCACTTATTTGTAGAAGTCCCGTATCAATAAATAGTTTTAATTTAATGCTGTTCAATGTTAAAATATTCAAATGAATAAAGACTGAAATGAATATTGCACATCGTGCACCTACAGGTTCTGCTGTAAGATTAAATCCATACCAATAGAAATTCAACCAAGGGGAATTAGCATTTTATATGATATTAAATGGAAATACAAAAGTATATATAAATATAAATTATGAAATTGTAACCAGAAAAAAATAAAGAGAACGAGAAAGATTTGATCAACCAAATATTTCAAGTTGACCACAGTTTCTGGACAAAGTGATTATGAAACTTGAGAACAACAACAATGTGACGGACATCAGTATTGCTCTGCTTAACCGGTCCGCAACGATCATGTTGTAATGAATACATATGTCAACGACGTTGATTATAACGAGGATACATAGATAAATACGACACACCATGCACTTCAAGTTCTACAGACATAATTAAGAGAAAACAACTTAAAGAATATGGAATTTATTGAATAGCCTTTCTGGAAATGGTTAGCACATGACAGTGTTTTTATGTCACAGGAATACGTAGTGTTAAAATTTAGATAATATCTTGATTTTCCAAAAACATAACATGAATGTGTTCGTTAGTCGTATCAATATAATCTTTTCCTTGATATAGTTTTGCAATATTTAAAATTTCATAGAAATTATCCTCTGATCAAACAAACAAACGAGCAAACAAACAAAACAAATAAATGTGGTATGTCAGACTTGCTTAATATGTGTTTTATCCCTTCTTATGGAAATATGTATGTTTACTCATATAAATGTTGTATTGAAAGAATGCGTATTCGTCAAACTGTTAAAGTAGTCAATGTTACCTTTCGTTCCTGTGTTTTACAAAAAAAAAACACTCCGTACATATTTCCAGCATTTTACTTACTGAATTTTGCTGGCTATAAATAATGCTGATGAATATGTAAATAGAATTTTATCATTTAAAACGCATTTAATTAGTTTTCTTTTTTCATTACTGCAAGTACTCTTATAGCGATTATAATTTTAATCATTTTCATTGGAACATTCCAATCAGGAAGAATAGACGGCAAGCATTTTTTAATTTGTTATCTCCAACGTTGGGCCGAAGTTCGTTCAATAGTGTAACCATTAAGTATTGATGTATTGTACACATTAATTTCACCGTGTCAATATAATGTATAGTTGCAGTAAGCTATGATGGAATCACGGCAACCTTGCTAGGCTTTTAACATGCATATTAGATGTCGTAAAATATAAAACAAAGTAATCGTACACTGATTAAAAAAAAAACTTATAGCACTACATTTCACAATGTTAATAACATTTTAAATGCCTGAAGATACGATTTATATCCTTTTGATCTCAAGGTCAGAACACGTTGTGCTCTTTTGATGAGTTTATTTTCATTTCTTTTTTATTTATTGTTGAAGTTGTATAGCAAATAAAACAAACAACATTTTTAAAAATGATAATAATAATCTGAACTGAATACAGCTTGAGTTAATGTTTATTTAAATGGTAAGCGATTTTTATTACAATAGAGTTATTGTTTCACTGAAAATTTGCATCCATAATAAATATCTTAAATATGAAAAGATCACGAAAGTTTCGTTGTAAAAACATAATCTAAACCAAACAAAAAGTCAAGACATAATTGTATTATTATCTATAATTTTTCAATGAGTTGTGTGTTAGACTAGTGATAATTTATTTTATGCCGATGATATGTTATCTTTCCTGTCTGTAAGTACTTCCTTCTTTAGTGTCATTTTGAATGTAAACAACTTCATTGTTGTAAATATAGATGTGTAAATAGTAGATACGTTTGATTGATAAAGTGACCAAGGTTACATATAACTAAAGCTAGAATGTTAATTTCACAAGTTCTGAAAAAAATAAGTACAACACATATTATAAATAGAGACTGTTTTATAAATAGAGCAAAAAAAAAAGAGATTTTTTATCTCTTTATGCTACAGATTTATTTCATATTCACGAAAAAACAAAGAAATTTTATTCTATGCGAATAAACATTAAGAAATGTCTGTCTACTCATTGAATCAAAATGCGAACAAATAATGCGAAGTGCAAGAAGAGATATGTAATTTATTTCACCGGTAAAACCAAATACATTGTATTTCATTGGTTAGCATATAACATTAGTTTTATGTTTTAACATTATGAAATAAACGATTCCTGATGGCATACGGTATTTAAGGCTTTATTTCACATTTTCCTTTTGCTTTGCTTGGCATCCTACTTAACTTCAGTATTGTTTTATTATAATTATGGTTCTTCTGGATCATTGAATCTAGCACGTTAGTGTTGAAGATAGGATACCGCTTAAGTCGGTGCCAGGGAGCTTGAGTGGTGTTTCACGTTTACATTGACTCTCATGATCACAATTAATCAGACCGAGTCTGCAATTTTTAATAATATTATTGCTTTTATATCTTTCGGAGTATCACCTATTTGTTTCAAGTATATATATTTCGACCTTAGAAAGACTAAATATTGTGTCAGTAACCCTTGACATTTTTAAAAAGAAAAAAATAATGTGTAACCTAATAACGAGTGTGGATAAGAAGAAGTTAAAAATTTCATAAGTAATCTTATATTTTCACGTAAAGCAACAAGAGTAACATAATATACAAGATAAAAAATTTAAAAAACAAAACTAACAAAAAACAAAACAAAAACACAACGCCCAACAATTATTTACAATATAGCGTTATTAATGAAAGGTTAAAACTAAGCAAAACTTTACTCACATACATTACATAATTGATTTCATAAAATTAATTAGATTATGATATTGAGCACGTTCTACTTTGATAAAATTAGTAATGTTTTCACATACAAATCAAGGAATGAATTTTATAAAAGTTCTTGTACAAATCAAACAGTGAAAATATTCGTCAACTACAGTTGTTTATGACCCTGTAGAGATAATGTTTTTTTTATTCATTCACATTGAGATAACTGTTATCGTTTAAATTGTTTTAACTTCCTCCTGTAATATCGTGTCTAATGTTTATTTCACGATTTAAATATTGGATAACAATGAAGGATTTTACTTTCTTGGCATTTGTCATTTTGTTAAAAGCCTTGGTTTCCTCAACAGAAGGTACTTAAAGTTGTTTTGTTTATACGAGTAACGTTACAATTATATTCAATCCTAATAAGTATATCATGGTTAGTTGTTTATAATATATGAACATTGATACTGTCTGCTCAAGATTTCATGTTTGTAAGATATGGCCGATAAAACAACGTTTCTAATACTCGTCCCGGATTTTTTTGAGAGCTTTAAATTTTAAAGTAATATTTAATCATCGCTGCCGCAAGCTTAGTATAATATTTTACAACGTATTCGTAATATAGCATTTAATAGATTAATGGCTGTTTTGATAATAAAAATCCAAGTTTTCTTTTCAAGTGAAATAACATCTTTCCTACATAATGTTCTGATATATGTGTTTTATTTTGCACAATGCCAAAAGATTTTCCACCGAATGTGTTTTGTATCATGGAGCTTTCCACTTGGCAAGAGGCAGTGAAAAATTGTAATGGTAGGGGTGGTAATATGTTTTCATTTGTGACTGGTTTAGAACAGAATATAGACCAACTCCAATTAAAAGATGAAATAGATGTATGGACAGCTGATTATTTAAAAATTTCTAATACTGGTAAGTAATCATTTATGTTATATTATGTTTTTGGTTTGTCAAAATGTTTGATTTTCGATAATTTCTTTAACACATTAAGTATACAAGTACAAAAGAAATTAATATAAAGAATGAATTTTATCACAACTTATCAGCTATTTCTTCATAGTTGTTTTCAGTTCAGAAATAAAGACGGGCATTCTTTTTATTTTAATCATTGCTGTGTTACACCTTTTATTCATTATTTTTGAATCGAGTTTCATTCGTACTTTAACTTTGTTTACCTTATATTGATAATTTATCATCTGTTTCAGAAAATATATTGTGTATTAAGTTTTGTTTTTGAAATAACAATAAGCTTTTTCTTTATTAGGTTATTGCTCATGCATACAAGTTAACAATAACAAATAATCGGCTATAAGCATCTACAAAAATCTAACCCTATTTTATAAGGTGTATTACTTTCACACCTTATAAAATGTAAAAAAGGAACTTCTTCCATTTGCATAAGGTAATGTTCCAATGTAAATAATAATGGATTCAATTTAATCAGTTTAGCCTCGTTTCATTTCCCAAGGACAAAAATCAGTATTAAATTGACATTGTACTTCATCTAGTCTCTTTTTAATTTTCCTAGTTCAACAGAGCCAAGTGAATTCCAGATTTTTTCATGCGATGTTTATCAGTATGAACATACCAGCCGCGTTTTATATTGCGCTCGTATTTTGTGCATTTTTTATTATAAATCTTTTCTAGCTTTTTAGCGTTTATAAAAAAGTAACATTGAACGGCACTGGTCAATGAACTTTCCTTGCTAAGAGTATCATTTACTGTTACAGATTTTAATTTTGGAACAGACAAATACTGTGGATTTAACTATCTCAATAGCACAATATATGAAAACAAAGCACCATCGTTTTATGGCGATTGTAACGCAAACAGAAATTATTTTTGTATGAATAAAACAGGTAAACATTTTGTTACTTAATTTCATATCAAAACTTGCAGAAACAAAAATGATTTATAAAATATGTGAAAATAAGTTGAACATTTTAAATTAAAAAATGAAAGAAATACCAATATAGATGTAGTACATCTATATTACATTTAATTTACTTTTTTTGGCATGCAGTGATACCTTGCAAGTATGAATATAGAAGGCACGGTATACATAGTCACATACACGTAATTAGATATTTTATCTGAAATATGTTAGCTTAGTAAAGTATTCGATGTATTTTTCATTTTTCTTGGCATAGACTTCACAGTGGACTTAGCTGTGTACAACAATAGTCGAGAAAAAATTAAATGTGACTATAACATTTCATTAACTGACTTGCAAAGCATGAAGTCAGCAATTAAGCCAGGATACTATTGGAATACGGGGAAATTGTATGGAACAGGTAATACTTGTATCAAGCTGATTAATGTCTTACAATAAAAGCCAAACCGATACAAACATAATTTTACACGTTTTTTTTTAAATTTCAGATTATATTAATGTTATAATAAACATTTTAATAGTAAACGGGGCTATGATTTATCATATTTTAATGTATGAGAAAGTTGAATTATCAGTACACATCTGTATTCTACGCAAACATGTTTAAGGCAAAGCAACATACCAGTCGCTGCTAGGCCGGACAGTGTTTTTTTATTGATAATAAAAGTACCATTGATAAAATGGATAGCAGAACCAATAATTCAAAAGTGATTTATTTATTATTGTTCTTTTTGCCGTATTTAATAACTATCAAGCATTATTGTGTTTCGTTTTGCAGCTGAAATAGATAGTACAGGGGAGAATAACACCAACAGTAAGTAGCAATTCAGAGTATCAATTTATAATCGCCTGTTTTGACTACAGATATCTTTCACCAAGGTATTTTCTTAATACAAAATAATTTTAATCAATTTCACAATGTATGATCAATAACCTTACTGAATTTGACCAACGTGTTGTTAAAAGAAGAACGATAATTTAAGAGTAAATCAAACATTATATTGCGTTCAAAAGTTTAACCCCCTGAATGGGAAACAAAAGTCATCTTAACATAACACTCTTTTTGTTAAATGATCCCTATTTATTAATTTTCCAGTTCAAAGTATATTATGTGGAGCCTATAGAAGTTCAATTGGAATGTATTATGCAAACTGTAAAGAAGAACGCTTTTCGTTATGTAAGTTGAATATACGGTTTGTAAATGATTTAGAGTTTTCAATCTCAGACAAGTTATATGCATTGACGTTACCTCGGTGTTCTAAGGTCTATGTAAAATTACAATACAAGTCTAGTGCAAACGATCTGCTGGCCTTCTTGTCGGTGGTCCTTTGTTGATAGTTGAACTCATTGAATGCCGCCCTTTTAGTTGATCTTTGTTTCATATATTTTGTTATTATATTCATTTTTAACTAATGATACGAAATACATATAACCTAATACTATTATATTATATATAAAAGTTATTACGATGTCGTAGAAGCATCACAGTTTTAGAATTTTAAGTTGGAACTTGATGTTAACCAGAAGAAATATTTATGAAAGCATTTAATATGGATCTTTTTTTTTCATAAAGTACTTTTGATGTGCCATCATACTGAAAATGATTATTTGACATTATTAAAAAGAAAGAATAAAAAGTGAATTACTATTATACGTTGTTGTTATCCACAGGTTCAAGCAATGATGAGAACGGACTAATTAATAACTTTTGTTTTGATGGTAAGTGTATAACTTATTGCATATAAATATCTTCTCTTGGTTTAGTTTTAAGTCCAAAGATCCTTTTTCTTCATCTCATGGTTTTTGAGGTCATCACATTTCATTCAATGCTCCATTTGGGGAAACGCATTGATACGCTCGTAGAACAACTAACCGCATATTCATTCTTTGCAATGTTAGCTAACATTTTCTATTTGCAATTTTTGCTTTTTTTTCAAATTCAAAATGGAATTACAAAGGCAAAATTGAGAATCAAATGTATTTTTTCGTATTTCGTATTTGGTCAAATAAATATTGACACGTCATTTCACGTCAGATATGTCAAACTGAAATGGCGACAAATGACGATTCTACGCAGTATTGTAATTATAAGGGTATATGAGCATAAAATAGTTTTCATGTCTCATGTAACATCACATATTATTATATTATACATAACATTAAGAACAATTTGGCTAACTGCTTTTTGTTTATTTTCTACCTTAACATTTAATAGATGTCCACCACACAAACCGCTAAGCAATATTTGAAAATAATTCGAATACAATTAGCAATCATTGTTACTTGTGACCAAACATGGGCTCACAATTCGAAAAATCTATGGCTATTTATACAGTTGCCAAAAGGACCATAAGTATTTTCCGCCAACGTTTATGTATCTTGATGACATGTTTATATCTGAATGTTACTAATCCATGTGTGTTGAGTTCGTTCTTATTTGTAAATCATATAAGATTTTTATATTGACTTTTTGAATACTGCACGTCTGTAACATCGTTTCTCATTGGCAAAACGTGAGGTTTATATAGTTTTATATACACGGCCGCTGTCTGTTTATGAAGAAATCTCACTTTATTCTCTAAAAAAAGATGTTTGCTGCATTATAAATTCGTTATAAATATTTCTGACAGGTCGTATGGCCTAGCGGCTCGGGATATTTTTCCAAACAACCGTTAATATAGGGCCATATAACCTGTCAAAATCTTTATAATGCAAAATTTCAAATGTAAGGAATAGTATTAAAGATTGTTTATGTAGAAATTGTATTATTTCTTTGTTTTAAGTCTTGTGCAAAATACAAAAATATTATGAAGAAGTCAATATTCAACACATGCTTTATAAAAGCGGCAAAATATTAGTAGTTTATGACAAATGAAAACGAATACTGCTTGTATATTTCGTTAATACACGTGTGTTATATTCTTTGTGACGATTGAAATTCATTTCTTTCGAACGTTTTAACTGAACTTTTATAACGCATCCAGTCCTTTTTCAATAGACAATTGAGGCAGGTACATACATTTCGTTAATATTCACGATAATTCAAGTGTTTTCTATATTATAACTTATTCAATGCTTTGCATGTTTACATTTTATGTTAGTTACCTTGCTGTGTTCATTTGTTTTGAGCAGAGACAAAACTAAACCATCAACCAAACAGCCAATGCCAGCCTCAACTACAGTCGGACAGAAAACGAATGTAAAGAAAATACACAAAGAAAAGAACAATCATTGCTTTTTAGAAAAAAACCTACAAATGTTTCTAAATAATCATTTTTTAATATATTTTAAATTATAATTATTTTTCTCTGAAACATGAATGTTGTGCATATTTAATTATCTATTTATCTGTGTGTTATATTATGAAACAATTAAGATTAATGAAGGTATTTGCAATGTTATTTTTTTTTAAATAAACAGCAATTTGTAATGAAACAGGGGTATACAAAAAGTATTCACATTTAAGTATGAAATGAATAAATAAGAATGCAATCAAAATACATTGATTAGAAACATTCTGATATAAAAATGTCATCAAGATGCATATACTTTTGGCTGATATTCCCCTCCAAACATGCATACAAAGAATGTTTTTTTTGCATATTCTTCTCCTTTGATGGTAAACCGTACAGATTTATATGCCGAAGAGCAAAAGTGTGGCATGTCGGTATAACCAGGATGTTATACTACTAAAGTTCAAGAAATATTATTTTAACGACACCCTGTGTCAGGATTTTGCCATGTCCGTCTATTTCATAATAATTCACCATCATATACTGAGATTTGTGAAACATTTTCGAAGTCGTACAAGGTTTCGTCTTGCCACACCCAACATAAATTCCAGATATAGCCTCATGCGACTTTTTTCAAAACTTATTTTTTTGCAAAGTTCTTATCTGGTCGTCGATACAAATCCCGACAGAGCCTTGGCCCAGCCATCAGTCATTTGACTATTTGAGTCAGTTGCTTTTGAGATATAATACAACATATCGAACAACTTTTGTAGTTTATTAGTTTTAATGCTTTATACTGTACATGAAAAAATGCATGTTATATTTGATGCTTTTCCATTACTTAGGACTGTTGCGCAAAAATGTAGTTACCAATGAACGTGTCCGCTTTAGAATATGCTGCTTTTGAATAAATGCAAAAAGGCGAACGACTAAAATTACTGAACATACTTTAACAGAAATCAACACATCAATAGCACGGACGACAGTTCGCCAAAAAACAACTACAGACAAAACTGATATATCAACCAAACATCCAATGACAGGAATGACAACTTTAGCCGATAATAAAACAAAAGAAAAGACAAGACATACAAAAGAGGACGAGCAAAGTTCAGGTAACCTTTTTTAGAAAGAAAGTACATATTGATAAAATATATCATTTCTAAGTTGTCATTTTTCTATTGTATTTTGTTACTACATATAT